TTTTTAGAACCTTATAACTGTGATGGATTCAATTANCTGAATGGCTGATCTCCTTATCTCAACTTTGCCGTTTCTGCATAACCGCTAGAGGACCCCTAAATAATACATGTTCTTCCCCCTGTAGTCGTTCCCTAAGCCTTCAAGTTTCTATCTGTTGAATGTTATTTTTGATCTCCACCCCAAATATGGTCGGAACGCTTTCTGAACTTTTTATTCTATGCATCGTGTTTGATGCCCGTTTTGGATACACGTGTCAAGAGGGCACTAACGCGCTCCCTGTATACAGCCATCCAACATCACTTCCACATTCTTTTCAATTAAATCAGCAATTAACACCTTGTTCACGTTGTACTAATAGGGTTCCTTTGGGGACTAATCCTAGTGCAAACTTACAGAATGGTAAATCATTTGGAAACCCCAGTAATCTTGCCTTAGTAGTGTTCCACGCACAAAGCCCAGTGTATTCAGACGTTTGTTGTAAACACGTGCTCGAACATTATGCGTAAAATATGTAGGGGACGTTTTAAACCATTTCTTTATCCATAGAATAATGCAGACTTGACGAAAGTCTTACATATTTGAGTCCATTATAATAGCGTAGCTGTCTACCGCATTTACAGACTATCGTTTTTCCGACAATTAGGTCACAAAACAACTACTTATCAGACAAAAACCATTGACGCAGAAGCATGAGGCATTCAACGTTGGTCCAGAGGTATATACACATTCAGGCAAGTGAGAAATAAATACAGGTTAGTTTTACTCATTTTCGTCCCAGTACCGTCTTGAAAAGCGGCCGTAGACAAGTTGAAGGTCCGGCGACGTTGAGGAAAGGATGTCGCAGTAGCTGTGCCCCAGTCGCTCTTTTAGCATCGTTCCGTGTCAGAGCAGCATTAAGGAAATCGCGAAGGTCAACAGATTGCTAAAAAAAGTGTTACTCATTTTGACAAGTAGTCCATTAGGTCTCAGAGAAGACGTTCAACAGGTTCGCAGTCAGAATTTCAGAGGAAAGCAGGTCATTACAACCCAAAGATTCTTTCGCAATATGAAGTCAACCATTTTAATTTCCTCTTGCCACGAATCTAGCCGGTCGTTTTTTAGCACAATTCAGGAGATGGTGTCACCTGTGTTGTCATTAATAAATCTGCTAATAATAAACTAAAGGAAGCGGTAAAATTATACGGTAGAATTGAAGTTAACCGACGTAAAAGGTATTGCTTCAGTGTTTTATTACAAAAATATCAAGTTAGAGATCATAGGCTATTCTATTTGTAACATCAGAATATGATTTTGTATTGGAAGTGTTTGCAAAATAAAATTGGTCTTAAATGCTTTAATAGGACTAAATGATGAGTAAATTTATTTCCGCATTTAAATCTACTCTAGTAGTGATTTACGCTGATAGCTGCAACTTGGAGCCCAACCGAGATCCATTATGGGTCATTGGTATACAGTTAAATAAATTGGAATTTGAGTTAAAGGAGAATCTAATGAAGCCTTAAACAAAAGCCTAATGTCGCAGAAGAATCTGTAACATTGTTTTAAGGATTAAAAATGCTATCAAATGCCAAAGCGACACAGAAATGTCAATACTTGAGTTTTCATGCATTATGAACAGTAGGATGCAAGAATAACATGAATCAAAACTTTTCCAAAACGTTTATGAATTTACAGGTACCGTGCCACTAGGTCTGACTTCATCGCTGTGAATTAGCTGCCTGCTAAAGTTGCATTTGTACCGCAACTGGAATGGCTGAGAACCGCATCTAAGGTGCAAACTGGTGGACGTAACTAACTTTCATTGTGTTCACAGCATCCGAATTTGAAAGGCTTCATAGTTCCTCACGCATAATCAAATTAACTAACTTAAAGGTAAAAGACATCTGCAGGAAAGAAAATAAAAAAACTCACGTTCTCTGGGTGTTTGAGGTGAGGCGTATAACTTTCTCGGATGAGATGCATAGCAACAGAGGGCGTTTCGTTAAAAAGACTTGGTTCTCCATCGACCATTTCGATAATCAGCACACCAAAGGACCAAATATCGACTGCTGTGCTGTAGGGAGCTCGAGCTATCACCTCAGGTGCCATCCAATAAGGCGTTCCAACTAAACTCCGTCGACGTGGACACTGCGGAGTGATCTTCAAAAACAGCACATTTCACATTCATGTGCTCGTTTATTTCAATTTGTCTCAATATCATTAAGAATGTTATGCCAAAGATTTCCATGTCATCAATAGCAAAGTGGTTCTTAATACTTAATTAAATGCCGAAACAAAGTTGATGAAATAAATCTTCCAATGTGAGCGAAGTGTACTGCAGTCAATAGGCACGAAGTTAATCGGTCTTCTACCGTACTTAAGCAATAGGCATTGAACAACTTTTACAGTGGTTCGTAAGCCATAATAATTTTGGAGTGAAAAGAACTGCAGTGATGAACTGATTATTACGCCTAACATTTGTTGGTGTACTCAAATGTGAATATGAAATTTAATAATGAAACAAACTGAAAAGCAAGTTTTAGGTGACACTTGCCAATATTTGAAATGGTGATAATTTCGAATCAGCAAGGTAATTTGCAAAAAGGAAATGTAAAATTAACGAGCAGAAGGTGATTGATGCATAAACTCAGTAATCAAACTAATGCAAGTACTTTTACCCTTTCACAGTGAAATCCACAAATGTAACAACTTGAGTCGTAAAGTAGAGACGAAGCATTATAAACCAGCATAATTTATACAAAAGGCAATTTTAAATAATGAAGAGCAAGACCTACTGTGGCGCAAAATCCAAAATCAGATAGTTTTACTTTAAAATCAGAAGCAAGTAAAATGGAGTCCGATTTGACGTCTCGGTGAATGATGCCATTGCTGTGAAGAAAGGCCAACGCGGAAAGAATGGGGATACTCAGGGTTGCTATTTGATTTTCGCTCAGTCTGTAAAAATAAGTTGTATCGTAACTATAGGCACACTTTTCAATTTTCACTACTTTAAAAAACCGCTTTGCTTTAAGGAAAAGAGACGGATAAGTACAGTAATATGCAGAAGCATTAAAATTGTGGCAGTATATATCCAATTAGCATAGCAGCAGAAAAATTCCGTAAAAAAAAGTAGAGAATAATGCAAACCTTTCAAGCAATAAACTAACGTGGTGATTTTCCATTTCCAATGAAAAGTGTTTCCGCAAAAAAAATCGCTTTAGTGATGAGAAAAGTGAGGCAATGTAAAGTAAGGAAGGCGTAAATTAGCAAAGTACAAAAACTATTATATGCTAAGTCAACGTACTAGTGGAGGGCGCTTCATGATTTTACTGAGTCCAAAATGTGCATAAAAGATTCCAATCCGGATTACAAAACAGTAATTTTCACAAACAGTTCGGAGGGATCCTATCTGTACTCTAGACTATATGTGAAGTTTGATACTGCAATTATAAATTGTGAGTTTTGAGGTATCCTTTTCGATTTACAGGCAGTGACATCTCCTTTCTGCTTAACAGATAAAACAATAAGTACATTTAAATGGTTTTAATCTTTTTAAGCAAAATATTTGGACATAAAAAGAGTCCAGTCAAAATTTGTATATAAAGAGAGCTATTGGGGTGGAAATCTTTTCAAATTTTTTTGCTATGGCTTCAAATTCCGCCTTTTTTCAGATACGAAAAGATTGTGCCTATTTGACACACGGAGTCAAGGACAGTGAGTGTGAAAGTAACTTTCGATAACCTAGATAATTAAAGTTGAATCGTTCCTTGATCTTGGTTTTTATAAAGTTAGTAAATCCAATATAAAAATTTTTAAATATGTTCTAGAATTATTTGGAACTTAACATAAACCACGATAAAATCTCAAGAACAAAAATCTTCTTACAAACATTACACCACGGGATTCTTTAATTACATACTAGCTCCTGGCTAAGATGCAAATTTATTCGGGACGGAACACAAGCAGATGTCGCACCTAGGAATATCGAATGTAATTCTTCAAGCTGATTATGCAGTTGCTTACGAAGTACTCTTCATATCATGCAAACGGTGAAATTTTTTGCTGGGTGCGCAACAGCTATTACAAGAACGGCGCCATGTCAATAGAACCGGCACAGTGGGAGAGAACCGCATGTATGGGCTTGATTTGACGACACACCAATTACTTTTCAATTGGGTGGAAAACACACGGAAGCACGTTCTTAAATGTCATTGAATATTACCTAATCAGATTGTGTGATCAATCAATGTCACCTCAAGGCTTGTGGATACGTAGTAAAATGCAACTCGTCGCCACTTAATGGTGCTTAAATTGCAGACTTTAAAGTGTAAAAAGCTTGCGCTTACCGAGTATGTGAGAGAATGGATGTAAGAGCTCCACAATCCATGAATTCCATAACCACCCAAAAGTCGTCATTAACCAAGTAGCAGGAAAACATTTTCACAATATTGGGGTGAGAAAAAGTGCGCATGAGCACCGCCTGAAACAAATGCATTTATTATAGGCGTTAAAAATGCCAATGTATGCCACATACGGCGGAAACCGTATATACCTAGAATTTCTGACTAATAACTACAAGGTAAGCAGAAAATTTTGCAGTATCTTATTCTGAGGATAAAAGGACAACTTCTCGTCCATGTTAATTCGGGACAAATCATTGACGTTGATGCTAAAATTTTGATTTAAGAAATTTCGTTTGAGACCGATTACTATTGGTCACACCTCTTTGTCATACCACCAAACCAAAGAAATGTGATTATATTCACCAGTACGTTTGCTTTTCAAAAGTGCACCCCAGATGTCGTAAACACATGCAGTGCAGACTGCATTCATACCTACTGTAAAGAGAAACAAAAGCATTTTAAATTCAATGGGGGGAAATTGGTGCCATATTTTTTAAGCGGTAAAATGCGGAATCACTTCCGATTCCTTATTATTTGGAAGAAAGCCAATTTGTTCTGAAAGCGGGTATTTTCATTACTTGCAATCCCATCTGTATCGTGAGTTCTACCACTTTTCCGATTCCTTTCAGATTTCTGCACAATGGTTTTTACTGCTTTGATGGGTAAAGCCTCATCAACAATGCAACATTTTTGACTGTTATGTTCACACTTTTGAACGGAGCATAATCCCATGAAGGCATATTGATAACTAAGATCTCGACACTGTTGAATCCAATTTTTCTCATGCATATGTGCCTATGCTTTTAACTTTTCACTTTCTTTGTTGAATATGCATCGTAGCATCAACTAGCTCCTTAAATTTGTAGAACAACAAATGCACTATACCTATCAAAAGCACTTCCACCAACTGGATACTAATATGGGGTTGTAAATCAGATTTCGAGTGGAAAATAAAATGTATGGTGCTCGCTCTCATTTTCTTTTTAATAAGAGGCAACAAAAAGCTGGTCTTGTGTTTTCAGAAAACTTTTGTCAAAAGCATTGATTGTTGACAGAGAACACCCCTTAATAATTAGCACTGTAATGGATTGAATCTGTCATCTGCACTTGGGTTCATGGCATTCTAAAATAATTCACAAAAGTACTCAACTATTTCCAACCCTTAACTTGTAAGGTTTGATTGCTTTATTGGGGATTTAAATAATAGCCCCACTAGTTTGTTCCTTAAGTGCGACCGAGGCTTATTTTAAACAGTTACAAGCCACTCCATCAATACGAAACCAAGCCTTAAATCCATAAAAAAAGAATTTGTGAATTATGGTAGAATTTCAAAGCTATAAATATGTGCATAACACCAGCAAATACATCGAATTGCCTCAGTAAACTCTGACCCAAATAACGATCATGCGGATGATTCCTACCCCGCATATTAATTGTGGGCATCCCACAAAAAAGTAGCTTCATCAAAATTGCTCAGCAATCAAAAACATTCCTTCTTTTAGTGATTTTGCAGATGCGCAAGGCGTGCTAAACAACTGCAAAACACGTTCACGCAGGATGTATAACATTTTTATGAAGAAAGATACCAGTCAATTCTGCCGAGAGGATATGAAAAGAAGCTTTAATTACTCGTCAAATTTTGTTTGAAATCAATTCCCACCTGAGCACCCACTGGTTACATTTAGAGACCATAAGGTCAAAAGAATTTTCTCGTTTATACCTTTTAGGTGGGCGTTCACACGATCGCCAATTATCCAGTGATCATGTTTTAAATGATAGATTTCAGCGGCTTCTGAAGTGCATCAAAATAGATCTGTCCACGCGCCCGATCGTTGGGAACCCTGTACTCTTTTAATTCCGTATGCACCAAAGTATATAAGAATAAACACCTAATTAAGTTTAAGTCAAATGAACAATGAGATGGAAGATAGTATTTAATAGGTCCAGCTTACCTCATTAATAAGGAGTTCAGGTCGCTGTTGGCTGGCGATATTCATTTTCTTGATAGCCACAAGAGTGTTGTCTGGCAATTGGAGGGCCAACTTCACCACACTGGTGCTGCCCTCACCAATCGTCCCGAGCTCTTTCAATAGCGATCGAGGGTCCCCAGGGTCTACTTCCCTAGCCAGTAGATTCTTCAACTAAAAATACTACGTTATAAAATTTCTGATTCATGTTTACTAATAAACAATCCCTTCATGATCCTACGTGATTCACCAGACTGTGTTAGGACTCAACTGGTTCCTCGATACTCATTAATAATAGGATTTTCCATCTCAATCAAGAAATTGCAAATTGATGTAACAGACGGTTCTGATGACGGATTATGTTATTTATATAAAAATTAGTTACATTGAGAACCAATTGCATGTGGAGAACAAAAGTAAAAGGCTACATTTAACAAACTGTAAAGATAACAGCTACTTATCAGAAGCAATGGCTGCTCTGTTATGCCAACACCTTTCAAACAATCATTTGACTTGCAAAAGATCACACAGTGGACATAACCTGAAGCTGGCCAAATAGGCAAGCGCCGGTATAGCGAAACGGTGACGCTGTGCCAATGAATAACAAAAGGTTTTCCTTTGTTACTTGACTAAAAAGCGTAATCAAACTGAAACGGAATGACTGAGCATTTTCTAAAATTGGTACCTTACCCATGACACAATTTACAATTTTCAACTTAAACTAAATCAGTTCGTGCAAAAATTTGACTTTTTGCTACAAAATAGATTTCAATATGAAGTTATGGAAAAGATTCAGTCTTATTCCGAATATTTCCCCTAACCATCTAACGTCTTAACAACCAAAATAGAAATGGCTAGGAAAGCATTTCAAAAAATACAACTATTTTTGAGTGTGGTTTTTTGAACAGATAAAATCTTGGCCATGAGCGCTTCAAGTTCTTAAAATAAGTGATGCGAAGACTGCAGTTCCCAAATCTTACTATTCCATTCCTTGCACTAATTTGCTTTTGTAAACAATCATTTGGATTCACCCTGGCTTTTACATTTGAGGCATTCATGCTACTTTAAATTGGTTTCTTTAGAGCGTCCTCAAAATATTGCAGAAACCGAGCCCTTACGAGTACGCTGATACCCTTTCTGATAAACTGCTACTAGGAAATGTAGTAAGTCACATCACATGGCTTTAAATGTAGGAGCAATTGGCTACATGAAGCGTCAAAAAAAAAATGGCACACATGCGTGTATGCGTGCCACCACTTGCACAAGAACTTCTTTAATTAAACTGGTCACACCGACCCACAAATTTCAATGAGATATTTGTGATTATTTATAATATATCAACTTATTTTTGAATGTTCCCTACAAAGTTGCTTCAAACCCACCCACTCAGTTGAATTAAAATGAAATCACAACGACTTTATAACGATGGATTTTTATGATATAATGCCGCATTAGAAACAGATTCAAGCAAGTTTCAACCGTGAAAGTGAAGTAATTTATATAGATATTGTAACACTTGCTGTTGTGATGGCAATTAGAATTTCGCGCCATTCCTCATGAGGGTTTAATGAGGCTAACCCGATTAGCGGCTTGGCACAGTTGAGCTACCGTCTGCTTCTCATACCATGCTCTCACTTTCTGCCTCACACCACACGAACCATCGGGGACACCACTCAAGAATGGCAGTCATGCACAAGGGCGCAGGCGACGCAAAATCCAAGAAATTCACATGGGTCGGTAGAGCACTCACCATCATCGACACCATAGACACTTTGACTTCACAATCTCCCCAGCTTAAAACCGTTCAACAAGTGCATGACTACCACGTCTACCAAATCCTCAGTATTTATAACGAACAGTCTTCTCGGATTAAACTCCTAGCATTTAATATGACGGTAAACTGGAAGCTGCAGATAGATTGCCTCGACCTTAATCAGAGTCTAATTTTAAAACGGGAACTCGGCAGCTAAAGCTAGTTAGTATTAATAATTTTCTAAGATAGTGTCAAATGCACCAATTGCAGTGGGCTGATAATAAGCTGCAACTACATGGGAGTAGTCATGGTGGGAGAAAATAAGAGAAGAAATGAGAAGCAGCTAGTTGTTACTTCGAACAGACATTTATTTCCCGCACTGAATCGTATGAAGCATTGTTCGAGTGTCGTAGCTGTAAGGAGACGCCCAATTTCCTATCGCGTGCTCTGATGAGTGGTCGCCAAAACAACGCTATTTAGTTTTGACACAGTGCCTCGTTATACGCAAATTTTTGGGTGGAAGAAAATGTAAGTAGCGACTTCTAAGTTTAATTTTCCATAACAATTCACAAGCTCAATATGAGTAGATTATCGAATTCCGAGAACTACTTATATCCCACATACAATGGAACATAACATTTAGAAATACTTAGCGTGTAGTATATTTTATATGTTAGAAAGGATCCGCTGCATAGGTCTGACTTTGGGAAAAATACAGCTAGAGTCAATCCGCAAGGGTACTACGAGTGTGGCATGACTTCTGCCGCCTACTAAGTTCCAGGTCTTCTTCTCGAATTATCTACACCACAGTATACTAATACACTTTCTTCCACAAATTGTTTAGTTTAAAAGGTCGTGTTTTACGGAAATGTATTTTAATGGCATTTTCCAGATGAGACTCCCAAACCCTTCATCGACTGTAAAACTACTGCTTATAGCTTACCAGATGGTGTCAAACTCAAATATACAATAACCCCTAATTTTTTTAAAACCTGAAACGAAATTTAGTAAGAGAGCTTATCGTGCCAAAGGTACTCACTTGAGTAAATGAGCAATTGGCAACTGGAACAGAAGGTTTATTCTGACGAACAGGCCCTTTGGGAAGTGTAAAAGCTGGATGCTCCCTAAACCCGTTCGAATTTACCAAAGTCTTTAGGTGATTCAATGACTTCGATTCTGCCACCCTATTTCTTGTCTGCTTTTGTGGAAATGTTTCGGCTGGAGACGTCTTTACTTTCGGTGAATCATTCAGAGACGATTGAACTGCTGCACGTCTAACCAAAATCTGTGGCTGCAGCGTCCGAATCGTGTTGGTTGGACGACTTTGTGCTAGTGGTGTGTTTGTAAAACCGTACCTATGGTCAGCCTGGAGTTGTTCCAACTGGCTCCAAGTAGAAGGAGTTTCGTATCTACTCTGTAGAGTAGGGGAGGCTTGATGCTCAGAGGCAATGACTCGATCGTAAATGCTTCGATAGCTACGCTGGAGTCGCTGTCTTGGAGGAATGTTAACACGATTAGGCAGCTGAAATGCCATATGAGATCGGTATTGCTTGGATCGTTCTGCCACCGGTGGGGGAGAGTCCACTATACTTACTGAAAGTCGAGCGACCTGAATTCGAAATTCGAAAACATTCACTTCGATTTTCGTTGTAAAATTCGTCAGTCTTAACATTTTCCAAGATAGTTTACACCACCTTCAAGGCTCTTGATACTAACTATATCCTAAATTGGAACGTGTATCTAAGTTAGAACTTTGTCAGAGGTAAGAATGAACACGCAATCAAGTAATGTGATTTTTGAATGAATTTAGGACAAAGCGTCATTCACAGTAAAAGTTTGATACAAAAGGAATTCGGAAACTAATATACTCTTAACGAATCATCTTTTGATAAATAAGCCTGTCAATTCCCCCTCCATTGCAAAAAAACAACGAGCAAATGACAATAATTCCCATTACCTAAATCATGATTGAGACGCAAGAAATGATGTCATAATCAGGATTGCAACAAGCAAGTTAATTTGAAACTCACACTTTGATCGTTGTTCGTTCTGAAACCTCTTCCGATGGTTTGTCCAAAACCAGTCTAACAAATAAGATAAGGTAAAAAAAGTAGATTTTTACAAAACCGAGAGTAACAATAGTGCATTACCATTAGCAAATCAAACATTTCCATTCTGTTGCATTACGCTCGATTTCAAGGTTAAATCAGTAAGTGAGAAGCGGTGGTCCAGTCGAATATTTTAAAAATATAGCAGAACACCAAGAATTCTGATAAGTAAAACCCCTAAGAATTCCACACATCGCTTTTACAAGAGGACATTTTGAAAACAAATCCCTCAGTAATTTTGTAAATTCGTAAAACAGTAACAGGTACTAATAATCAGGTGAACCAGATATGTTTTTCCCATAAAATTACTTTTTCCTAAAATTACATTTAGAAAGGATCGTTTCTTCCCCCTAAAAGTCGCTTACTAGATAAAATTAAGGTATTTTCTCAAGGCGGAATTATGGTCATGCAGGGTATTGGGTGTAACGCATTAATGATAACTGATCAACAAATGGGCGACAAATGATATTCCATTATCGCACGTATTTGCTGAAACCTACGCCATGCAAGAAGGCCCTCCCGAATACAGTCCATCTGTTTCAAACTGACACCGAAAAGCTCAAAAGTAAATTTCGTTTTCAGGGTTTTAACTCAAGTTAATGATTTCCTCCCTGATAGGCAGACAGATTATTACTTCACTTATAAATTGCATTTAACCCTCAAGCAAATACGAAAAATTGTCACAGGACTAGTTCTACAAAAAAATAACTTGTTTTGTTCGAATTTACTGCACTTCTCACCAACAGTCGACTTTCTCACGTTCGCCGATTGGACATATGACAGCCTCTGCGAGGGAACGAGTTCGCATAGGTATCTCGGTCAAACGACTCAATCAGAGAACTGATTGATTATTAAGATCAGGTTCAAAATAATTTTGAGCAAGCTCTTCTTCAAACCCTAACGGGTTCAATAAAAAAGCAAAAGTCAAAGTGGCCACAAAATGTGCACTTTCTGATGAAGTGATTGCGTGGTGTATTTTAAAATTAGACTACCTCTTATGACAACTTTTCAATAAGGACTAAATGCGTCATTACAAGGACAATCTAGCAATCGTCATAGGCTGAATCAAAGTGCTGGGTCCGCTAAGCTTCAAGGGAGTTAAAATAGGAACGCACAGTAGGGTCGACACTCCGTTAAAAAGGCGCGAATATCAGACAAAATTACACGGGAAAAATGCCCGTACAAAAAACATCTTACCAGTAAAGCTTAAATCAAATAAATTAAAACAGGTTCAAGAAAAGTTGGCAAGCTTCAAATCGGCATCAAATTGATGCAGCATTGGTAAAAAGTTTGACATTTCGCCGCAACTAAAAAGTAGTTTCTTTCTCAGGGGCACGCCCCATACACAGCTATCCAGGCTACATTCAACTGAGTAGTTCAGAACACTAGAAAGATGTTAAAGCATCAGTGTACTATATAATAAGAGCTACCTATTTTCAAAGCGGTGTAAACTGAAGTAGTTCTTGTGATCGTACTAAAGCATTTGCAATTGACGAAAACTTATGGTTTTTTTCGAAGGTGCTGAGCTTATGCATGCGGTAGCATGGTGCTGAAAATGACCATGCAACTTGGGACAGATCAAGGGCGTTCAGTGTTGTATGAAATTAAACGGTCTATTCCGCAGATAAAATCAGGTGACTAAACGAATAAAGTCAAAAAAATATCCCGACAAACTGCTTCCGTGTGTAAATCACAAAATTGACCTGATTTCAAACGGTAGCACATACCTGACTTCTCCGAAGGCCAGCATTATCCATGGAGCTTTTTCTATTCTTCTGTGATAATACGGTCTAAAATCAAGGCTTTTTATTTAATTGCAAAATATTTTTGGCGTGTTTTGTTTTGAGCAAAAATTAACCCATGTTGAGGCTTACGAGACTTTTTCGATTGTCCGTATAAAGTCCATTGACCATTCGATCGTTAGTTCGTTCAGCATTTACACGCCCCACCTGGAACATAGACGTCAAAGCGAACTGCCATCGTCTGCATAAAACATTCAGTGTCCTATTCTTTAACACCCACCGAGTTATTGCGTTTGTACGTGCGACGAGTCAGTGTGGCGGATTGATCATCCGCTCCTCCTCTCAACTGCCTATTCTTCTGATCATTTTAAATAAAATATGTTAAAACAACCTTTACAGGATATCTTTAGCAATTGCTTTTTGTTTCATTACAGAATCAAAATCAAAAACCATGAATAGGAAACATAATTTCTCTACCACAAAGTTAAATATATTTGTTTTCAACTCCAATACTAAAATGAAGAAAACTAGCGACTTGCTATAACGCTTTTGCTACATTCGTAATTATTCATTTTAGCAGACTTCAAGTTGCACCAGTAGCAGAAATTCTTGAACGAAAATGCAAACTAAGACATCAACAATTTAAGAAGACTGTACCACTTTCAAAACTTTTTAAGTTATCAAAATTGTGTCTGCTATAATAATCCAGTTATTTTTACTGAACATTTTATTGTTTAAACCAGTCCGGTGTCGATAATGGATTCCAGTGCATTATTTTTAAACAGTTTGCAAGTGACTTTACACAATACTTGATGCCTCCAAGTTCGTTATATTAATCGCCACTATTTTGTTGATATTCATTCCATAAAACTATCGTACAAAAAACAAAATCATATTGTGCAATTGCGTAGCCTCCTTAGTTCAAAGCGCTTGACACAAGGTGGGAGCGCATGAAGATTATTAGTAAGATGAGCTCCCTCTCTTTCCTTTAGATATGAATTTTTTAAAAATTCTTAAAGCATTTTTTTTATTTTGCACCAACCTGAATGCAATGTGGGCATAACGTATAAACTGATGGAAATAGTTTGAATTAAAAACAAGGGGAGAGAAACCTGCACATTTCGAAACAGCACAGCATCAGAACTGATCCTTGGTAGTTTATCGCCTTCCCGAAAAGGAGAACGATCGACTTCCAGCCTGCTGACCTTTGAGATAGTAAAGTATAGGAATATTTGAACTTTTCAAATGAAATTAGCAGTAGTCTAAGCATTTTATAGCTTGGGAATTGTAAAACCTGTGCCAATATTACATCTCTTCAGTAAATATCTAAAATGGCGTTTTATTCATCATACCTGGTTGGGTTTATTAGCTGGTATATCTGCTTGAGATTCGAAAAAAGGGCGCAATCAACGAATTTTAGAGACCTGTGTACCAAGTCAACAAGCGTGTAAACTGTAAAAAGTGCTTTTATTTTTTATCGGGACCAGACCAACTTTTTGTTGGAAGAAATGTAAATTCGACTACTTTACACAAATAACAACAACTGATTTATCAAATTTAACGAGAGATAGCTATCCAATGTTCCAGGCAAAACATGAAGCTTAAGAAATTCGGTAGGCGATGTGAATGCTTTACTGCGTGTAAGGCGATCCACTGTTAACTAGAATAATTCGATCCAAAAAAGGAGAAATATAAACTATAAGTGGTTGTCATCTTACGTGACTACTTTGTATCTCCCGAAAGCTGTCGTTATTTGTTTGTGTGTAAGTGGTCACACTGCGTCCCACCTGTTTTAAAAAGCCAAAAATTGTATTACTGAGTTAAAGCCATACAATATGGTTAAATTTTGTGGCTCATTACCTGCAAATGTCTGATCTTTCGGTCCCTTGCTCCCTGATAGTGCAGTACGCGTTGAGATGGAAGTTCATCGTAGTCCTTTAGGAGCTAAAGTGCCCAATTAGAAATTGATATCAAAACAAATCGCTCCTAAGAAATAAGCGCTGTAAATTCAAAAAAGGAGAAGCCTCCGCTATAATACACTCAAAGTCACCTTCATTACCCATTGGCATAATAATGCTAGTCATTACTGTTTGCTGCTTACTAATTAAGCCCCAAAGCAATCCGAGAATGAACTCTAACTAGGAAGTTGTGATCAGTCGCAGCGTAGGATAATTTGTGAATGGCCATGCATTGTATACTCTAACATCCTTACAGCTTCTAAATTGTATTTCTATAAAATTGTTTTCCATGCGCAATTGTCGCACGGAAAAGTTTTTAACGAGACGATGCAGCTAGAGAATAGACAAATGACGCACACAAACGAGTCATTGTGAATGAGTTGCCAAAGTTATTTTAATTCAATTGATAGTACTCAATGATGCATCTTAATATTCTCAGAAAGTGATAAAGTTTATATGCCAAAATACCAAAAAATGCTACTATACACCACGATTTAATCCAGTCGTTCACACTTTATTTGTCGCACTCGTCTCTGATAAGATAGGGTCATGGATATTAAAAAACTTCATTCATTTTTTAATTATACCGAAACCTATCTATTTCATCCTGTAAGAATCTCAGACAAAAAGATTAGCGAGCTTTGCCAAACTATGGGACGAAGGATACAAGTGCAGGAAGGCACACTAGCAGTACGTTGTGATAAATAAAATGATTATTTAGAGTTGAACAAGGTTACAATACCGAAATTAACATTAGATACCTTATTTCTGCATACAATTTAGATAACAACGGTAGATTTACCGTAAAAATGTAGGTCAAGTCACATCTGTGACCAGCAAAGATAAAATTGTAATTTCAGATTGCTCATTAATTTGCATTCAGTTATCAAAAACTTTTAGATCAACAAAACGCAACAAAAATATTCAGTTTTCCAAATTCATATACCAATTAGTTAATAAGCACAATGAGTTGTAAATTAACATTTTTAAATCAACGTTTTTTGATCGCTTGAGGATGCATTTATGATCTGCATTTAAGAAGTTTCACGAATATTCAAACTATTTATAGTGAACTTGAGAAAATCTGTAAAAAACCAATTAGGTGCCTTGATCCTCACCTGAATCCGACTGAGTCTGACAGTTTGCGAGCTTGGAATAAAATTGGCTTGTGGATTCGAAACAGTTTCCATACGGCTATCGACACGCATTGTTTGAGATTGCCTCCCACTACCCTTCACCTTATTCGAATCACTAGTAATTTCATGACTTTGCTTATTAGGTAGAACCAATGTAAAGTCCATGAAACTACCTTTTCGAGGGCGCTGAGACTGTTACATAGAGTAAAAAGGCAATGTTTTTGAAAATGATTATATCAGTAATTTTGCATGAAAACATGTGGGTGTCATAAAATTTTGTCAATTTTTCATAATTCCTACCATCAACTCGTTTCTCCAAAAAAGTTATTAACTTAGCCTATTCGTCAAAGTCAGACTATGACTTAGCTTTTAAAACAGTTCACAAGTTTGCCACTAAAATGCTTGCTTTAAAAAAGCAAATATTAGAATTGCAAACTTACAGGTGAATACACATGCAAAACTTCATCAAATAAGCTTAATTCCTTCAAATTAGAAGAATTATTGGGCTTAGTGGCAGTTGAATGCCTTTTAGACAACAAAATTGTTCTGACGTCCCCATTCGCATGCCTAGAATTTGCAGCAACAACATTGTCCGTCCGAGATTCCGCTGCCTAAGGTTTAAAAGTTTTGAATTATCGAAAGCAAGCGACAAATGAATGATAGTTAAAGTGGGGTTCAAATCTCAAGTAATACTTTACCCGATTTGTACCAGAAGCTTTGCCGTTGCGACCGAGATAGTTTGAAACCATTGACTGAAACTACAAATGCAATAAAATTTTAAAAATATTCCAAGGACAATTTCTGGCTAAAGATTGCTGCGAACGTGACTCAATTCAGTAGCGGAATCAGTCACTTTAATCAAAAAGTGCCAAAATCAGCCCCAAATTAGAATTAAAATATGCAAAAAAGGATAAAACGAAAAAAAGCGAAATGATTTACTTGCGAACTGTGTGGCTGCTCCTGTTGGAATTTCATTTGCCTTTGTACACGAGCCTTACGAGATTTTCCAACAGACTTTTTCGAAGAATGTGCATCTAGAATTTTGGCATTGGGAAGTCCACGTTGATCGTTGGCTGATTCTTCACTTTTCTGCACAGCTGCAACCATTGCCATACTTTTGGTGGAAGCATGCAAAACCTCCTGGCCAAATTAAAAATAAGGCCACATGTGATTTGAAATTGGGAAGCCTCCTGAGAAGGTCATCAGGGGGAATAAACGATCATATAACAGAAATGGAAAAGTTACATTTTACGTCACAGTATAAACGCAACTAGTGTTTTCGAGACATGAAAACATTGGGGTTTTAATGCCTGGTTGCTGACGACAACCACATGCAATGAAAAGTTTTTTTGCAGAATAGCCATAGTATCATTCGGAAAAATATGTTAGGCATTTAAAATGTAGCTGATAGTACGTTTTTGAATAGCAGCTAAAGGCGCGCTACCTACTTCGTCCAAGTCGCTAAATTTTTCGGCACAAATGAGGATGGACATTTCACATCAGACCCTTTACTGCGTAACCGCACTTTGAAAATGCATACAATTCCAAATGATGGTTCCACTGTTAAATCTTTAATGCATTATTTAAAACCGTTTTAAACCAAGTGTCCTCCTTTAAGGTGTTTAAGTTTAAAGGCATAATGGATTTTTTACCATTAGATTTCTCAATTTTATCTTGATCTTAATTTTAAGTAGATATGATGTACGTCTCTTTGCAGTTTATATTGTTTTGAATCTTCCATTATAATTACTGCAGTGTGTTGGTTGTTTGCCTGATGGTTGGTTTTGGTAAAGGGCAGCTTTATCATGGTCATTGATCTTCGCCGGGTGTGCTGGCCTCAGGGCCGTGCCAGTGGCCCTAATTCCTTCTGTATGCGAAACATATGCATCCTGTCGGAGTATTATGCCTCTTTTTGTCTTTAGGGTGGTTTTAAGGTGCTACATTTTCATCTATTTTACATAAGAACCTTTTATTCTGCCATTTCTGTATATCGGCTCATACATTTAGCAATGATAGGATGGAAGGTCACGAAGAGGAGGACAAATGGATGTACAACAAGCTATTTGTGTTGATAAGTTTATTTTGTACACTTGTGCTGGTTTTTTACCATAAAACACCTGCCAAACGTCAAAGAAATGCGATTTGTTTGTATGAATGGCCATACGGTCCTTCGCTGTCATTCAAGGACGTTGGTGCGACGGTGGCGTTTAATTGTTCCTGTTGCGACACCGCCCTTGGTTGCGTCCCTTTGTTTATCGCCGGGTTTCATGTTCGAATCCTGCTGATTAAGTGCTAGTGATACCTTTCAATCCTAGAATTGTCTCTTATAAAGCCCGTCTAGGTCAGTTTTATGTGATTTTTGGTGCTTGCATTAGTTCGGAGTGTTTTTTTACTAATTTCCGTGTGAGATTATGTGGTGTACAAAACTTCTCTGTTCTATTTTATAGCTTTACTTTGCATCAAGAAGATATGGAAGATGAGGCTGCTCTTATTAAGTCTGCCTTTCCGAATTTCGCAGACGAGATTTTGTTCCTTAGGACTGCCTTTCCGGCTGAAACCACTCTATGCCCAAGGTTTGCTCTTCTTTTAAGGTAATTCCATTCTGTTGTAGTAATGATGGTATCAATCTCAACATTCTGGTGACACCAGGAGTATGTGAGATTCCGGTAAACGTGCTCCTTAGTCTCGATGTATTTTGTCCCTCAGAGGTATTTTCAGTTTAACGTGTTATTCCCAGTATCCCCTTCTACCGCCTGTTGTAAAAGTGGTAGGTACAGTTGGATTATCAGATTCTGCCTTATCAAAGCTTCAATTGAACATTGCTGCTGTAATTGATTCGTGTCAAAAGGACCATGTTATCTTTCCCTTGATAGAGGTATTTTACATGAATTTGCTTCTAATGTGCTCGTCAATTTCTACCGTAGAGTACGCAATTTTGTGTGGTTGTCAATGTACTTAAAATTTTTTTTGAGTATTACAATCTCTATTTGATAAAGTAAGGTCACTGATTTCTACCATTTTGTTAGTCGAGTAATGAGTGATTAAGTCATTTTTCCAACCATTAATGTTTAATCTTTTCATTCCAAAACGCCATTTTACTTTGCTGAAGACAATTTGGTGTGATAGCTGCCCCTCTTTAATTACCGACAGTACTTGGCAGTATTTTAAGCTTGATTTGCATTCTCACGGCATTATCCAAGCAAATATTTCTTGGTCGAATGTTTGAGGCTCTCTCACAATCTTGTAATATTCCATAAAATCGTTTTGGTTACAAGGATTTGAAACTATCTTTACCTTTCAGTGCTGTCGTGATTTTATTTCGAGCAATGTTCCTTCTGTGGATTGCTCGATTTGTTTTGACGCCTTTCAAACGGAGGATCAAGTTTATCGTTCTCGTTGCAACCACTTTTTTCATAAAGAGTGTTTAGTCGGCTACCACAATAACCTCCTAAACACTCACAAAAACGAAATAGCTGCTCTTCTTGTCAAAAATCCATACTGCTCACGAGATATGCGACCGCAGCTTAAGGTAGGCAATTGACTTCCAATCCCAAACGGCTACAATTTCCGCTTTCTCTCTGAATAACTTAACTGGTTATTAGAACATGCACAAATCTCGTGTTTCAAACGTTCTGGCCATTGCAGAATCTCAAGGTGCTGCTGAAGCTCAAGCATTGCTTCCAATTATCGAGGGCTAGTATTCGTACATATCTCTTTAATGCATCATTTCTTTTTAAATTACCAGATAACAAGGTCATTTGTGGTTCTTATTAGGATTTATTTTTGCTTCACTTTACTGAATTTGGATGTTGTTGGTACAAGTGCCTAATATGAAGTGCTTTTGGCAGTATTTGCTGTCCTGAAGGTATTCACAAGTATTGAGGTTTGGTTTCTAAAATCCAAGGCGTAAATTGGGCTTGAATCTTGATGTCTGTTGTAGGTATCTTTCTAAAATTACTAATCAACTTTCGCTCAAGGTTCTTGATTCTATCGTTCTTAAAACGGCAGAACGGATTCGAACAGCGTTACAATTCCCTTTTATCATGGGATTATTATTACCCATGCTCATTATCAGTAGTTACGTCCTTTACCCATGCTCACAAAAAGGCAGCCTCAATTCTGCACCTCGCAATGTTTTATCCGTTTACTTTGGTACATTTTTATTTGCACTTTCTGTATCATTAACATGGAAAGGTTTGTGCTTCATTTGGCTTAACGAGATTTCAGTCAAACTGAAGCTTTTGTATATTTTTTTTTCCTAGTTTCCTTGTCCAGTATGCAAAACTGAGCTGCCCTCAATGGTCGACATTCCAGAAAGTTATATTTAAAATGCCCTTTACAGATATCTTCCTCAAAGTTGTCTTTCCTAGTACTTCTATGGTCTCTATTTTGGACAATCATTTCCTATTATTGTTTGTACGAGGAAGCATTTAATAATTGAGAAGTTTAAATTTTGCATTTTAACACATCTGCTCGATAAAGCTCGCGTTTTTCTTTTTGTATTGGGATATTTTACTAGGGCAGTGGTGTACGGCTTTGTCCATCGACTAGTCAAACGTTTTTTACAGTGCTTTCGTAGCATTTTTGTTCTTTTAAAAATTGTTTGAAATGTAAGAAGTGCGATTCTACTCATTCGCTACGCACTACCATTGTATTTCGCTCTTTGGGTCCACTTCCGCCAATTATCTGAGGAAATGTCTGCATTTATCACATGGATAGAGGATGGTAGATTCGACCTTTAGTGCTTTAAAGGTGGTTGAGTTTGTCAGAACTGCAAACATACTGGGTGTTCTAGACACCAAATGGCAATTAGAGTAACTGGAACAGTGGAACATCGTGGCATTTGTTTACTTCCGCAAACATCAAACGACGTAACTTTTGTCCATCTGGAATTAGATTTCCCTTCAGCCGGTATCAGGGATGGTGATATCAGCATTTTAGAGGTGTTGGGCACATTGCTCAAACTCTAATATTGAATGGGATAATTCGATTTTTGAGGGTTAACAAAGGAAACTATTTAAGATTCTCTGAACCCATGTCTCTCTTTTTACGCTTATAGTCGTAGAAGTGAGCATGAAGTTTTACTGGCGTGCATAAATTTGAGCTGTACTACTTTGCGCAACTGCAAATAGAACACTACAGCAATTGTGTTGGAGATGTACATTTGCATGTCCGGTTCCCTATGCTCCCCTACTGTTACGTTACCAATGATGTCTTACAGTGACTCGCGCACATTGGCTGCCGCAGTTAAAACACAACGCTTGTCTTGAATTATATCTTCAGTAACTATTCATCTTATCAGTAATCTAAACATGAATAAGTCGACCCTCTAGCCAGTTTATTCCAGTGTTTGCTCTCGTCGAAAAGCCACTCTCAAGTTATTGCCCAGCGTTGGAAACGATTTGCGAATTCTTGTGCACAAGTTAGAACACGGTGAGCAAATTCTTATGGGTATCTCTCCGTAGTTTTTGATTATGCACTAATTGTGCCTGGAGGTAAATGGATTGGTAAACGAAACCTAAGTTAGGCCATGACCTTGTAAAAATTATCATTGAAATGCGTGGATCTATTATGAACGTGATGCTTTGAAGAACCAATCTTTATACTAAGCTGTAATTAGGATAATTGATGAACCGGTGAATTTCCGCAGCTACACCTTAATCTTGAGGCTTTTGGGCGTTTGCGTAAACTAATAACACCGTAGTACTACGACTTGTAGGAATCAACTCTAGCGCTATCTGATTATGCGTTAAACTAGGCAGCCAATTTTGAATTAGTTTTTTGCCTGTCTCGAGATAGTCTATTGCCTGAAAACAAACTCGAAGTATGTCTAGGACTAAAGAAAATTCTTGAACTTAATAAAAGTATTTGAGAATATGTCGAATGGATGAGCATTAGCAAAGGCATAGCTCAATGGCAGTCCTTGAAGAACTCAAATGCGATCTTTTTAGTGGCTTTTGCATAACTACAGCATCAAATATTCTAGAAACGATTGTTCAAGGGGTCGTCACTGGCATTAGAGGTGAAGTTACAGCTTCTTTGACTATTCCCCTGAGACGATAAATCTTACAAATATAAAAACAACAACCAATGAAGGTTATACTCATAACCAACTTTGTAGTCAAAGAATGCCCTCATATGGGCTAATTTTAATGTAGCTAAACCCGGGTTGCCGATTGCATGCGCCTTCCACTAATTTAAACCCACGATAGAAGGTGCAGTTTTGTTACAACTCAGTTGTATGCCATGATTATTTACCAGTCGGAACTTTTCCAAAGATGGATTCATCTCCAAGAAACGTCGTAGACCTCCTCAAACCCGTTTTCATTGAAAGGGACGTTCAATGCATGTGCAGAGACGGCTTCACTTATGTGAAGCTTATTGGGTATATTTCTGCGTTTTGTGGTTGGTTGGCGCCTGTGAGCATACTCGTTATTTTTTAGCATTGCCACTCTGTACAGATATACTTGTTCATTTCCAGAATTCGAATGCGCTTTTACACGCGATTTATCGAGTATGTTTTTGGTCTCTTTTTAACTGACCATGTTTGGTTCACCTTCCTGTTGTAAATAGATATATGACCCGCTATAAACTACCTCTTTCCACACTTAGATAAAGGAATTTTAACAACCATTACCGACAAATCAAAAGACTCATTCGTTTAATTAGAATTTTTGTCTCTCGACCTTATAACACTCATTTTTTACTCTAGTTAATAATTAAATGAATTTGTACTTTAGTGAAGCATGAATATTATTTAGGTACTGTATTATCATTTTGCATACGATTTACCTGGGTACAGCCAATTCGCATAATTACGAAAATGCACGGTGCTAATCAGTTTTGGGTTTTACTTACAAAATGGAGATGTCTTCATAGACAATCTCGGTTTATTTTTGACATGATGTGTGCCTACTTTAGGGAAGTCATGACATTTTCCGTTGCCAATGCAGCAAGAGATACGTAAGGCTATGAAGTGTCTTGGAAATTGCTACCCTTACAGCGGTAGAGTTGGATGACCTTGTTTATTAAGATTCACAGCGTCAAACAAATAAGCTGACTTATTTTCGTTTTAATTGTGTATGACGTGGTCGATTATACTGAAATTTAAGGTTAACCATATTGTGCTCACCTAGGCTTAGTGCAGATCCACCTGCTGGCCACGATTTAGAAAGGTTGACCTTACTCACAACCGCCCTTACATTGTCGATAGAGATGGATTTTACCTCTAAATTCCGATTAGTGGTGACTCAAAGTGACGATGTCTCTTTCCACCTGATTTGGTGCAAGGTTACTTTAAGTGGTTATGTCATTCACCAATTCCTGATTCTTTAAATTTCAAACGGTTTTAGACCCGTTTATATTATTTGTTTTTGCAGTCGATTTCCATAAAAATATTAAAACAACTATTATTTATCTTGCTGATAGGTTATTTCTTGTGACAATTGAGCAGGGATGTTAAATTAATGGTGCACAAAGTTAGCTGTGCCGTCAAATTGAACAATTTTTTAAGATCATCGCAACCTATTAGGAAAAATCTGTGTAAAGCCGACATTACCTCCGTATCAACTTCCATTTTCATGGGTCCTTATTAACTTTCGCTACCAATGAAATAGACGTAGGCCTGCTTCTTCTTATTTAATATCGCCTCTGTAAGTTTCAAATTAACTCAATTGGAGTTTTTCTTAAACAAGTGAAGGTTCTATCATTTTCTGCCGAAAAATGACTAGCCGGCTGTAAAAAAACTAGTTTATACCATAATGTGTGCAGCCAAATGCAAATGCTGACTTGGCGTCATGATGATTAGTTATAGATAACTCTGGTAAGTCAATTTCCTGGTTAAATGGGATACATTGTTTGTGCAGCAAATGCTAAGGCGTTCATTGTTAAAAGACTGAAATAAATGCTCTCCTCTCTAATTCAACATTATTGTAATTCCACCGCATTTTTAGTTAACTGAGTTGAGGCTGTGGCAGAACTGAGGCTTGCTGACAGGTAGTATTAACACAGTCTATGTAACTTTATCTAATAATTCACCGTAAAACAGCATAAACCCTATTAAGCATGACAGTGTGAATTCATTTTATCACTAGTAATCGTCCATTTTAGAGGTGCTTTCTTCTTGATCAGCATAGTTGTGCTTGTCATTCTCCTGGGTCTCCGATTCAAATACTGGAAAGAGAGCAGCCAAGGTGGAGGCTCTGGCTATGGGTCCATACTGACTTCATCCGACCTCACAATTTCAAAATTGGAAGAATCGCCAGCAGTAAATGTTCCATTCCCATTTTTTAGCCTCTGCAATGCAAATCCAGCTAGGTGAGCGTTCGAAAAGTTTACTTTGATGCTTCACTGAAATGGCCGTAGTTAATTATGCTGTATTAAGACATTGATAATATACCAAGGAATAGAGAAAATATGCCTGGAAATAATTACCAGTCATTGCACTGATGACATGACTGACGCAAATATCGGTCATACAGATCTACCACATAGATATCTATGGTAGTTGAATTTCTACGGCTTTATCAGGAACAGTAAATGCATCACACTTAACGCTTTCGATTTGACGTACTTTCTTTCATCTCATTTGCACGCATTATTTTAATTTTAGTCTTTTGGAACGCATAGTTAATGACCAAAATTCTACTATCATTTAATAGTATTTGTTTGCAAGAAACACACTGTTTAATTGCTTCCCATACATATATTTTTATTTGCGCATTGAGCTTTGTAACATCAGTGAGATAGAAAAGTATCCCATTTGGTTTGAAGATAAACGATGTACAATGGGTCATAGGTATTTTTGGATGGCACAGAAAAGTATTTTTTGTCAAAAAATTGCCTTATCACACAATCTGCTGTCGCATTTAATATATACTTTTGTTCACCACTTATCCGTTCGTAAAATCCACTCTTTTTGTATCATTTGGAATTTTATTATCAACTGACATTGTATTAATGTTTTTAGTGATTCAACGACACACATTCATTTGATCTAATTCTTAAGCTCTACCAAAAAAATAAAGTAAAATTATTGGAATCAAATAATAAAAGTATTTTACAGTGGACTGATGAACAGATTCAGCTGTATTTAATGAGGTGCTGTTAAATTACTTGGTCAGTGAAAATTCATAAATCCATTATAAATGCTTGAAATTGATGCCATAGGGGAATAAACAGAAATTAACGCTCGATAGGAGAATCAAAGCGACTGCGGAGGTAAAAGAGGCTCAACGTTTTTTCAATTATAATTGTAATCACTAACAGTTTATAAGAATTGGACAACGTATTGTTTTTGTGAAAGGGGATCAATTCTCTTCGGTTTGCATGCGGAGAATGAGAAAAGCCCTTTGTGGTATGAAAAATTTCTCGACGCCCTCCTGGCCCGTCCTCTATCTCTCAAGGTGGATGATGTTGATGGTGTACATAATGCGAACTTCCACCTCATGCTCAACCACACGGCACACGAAATGAAGAACATGCTAGTGGAGCAAGTTGCCTCGATTCTTTTCATATGTGCAAATATCCTGAACTGCATGAGTAATAACAGAAGTACAAAAAGACCACCGATAATAACGATAATCATGTCGCCCGAGAACATGCTTTCTTCATCGCCATTTCTTGCAAAATAAGTCAAAACTGAAATCTTAATTGTGTCATATGCAAGTCATAAAAGCAGGCATTCATCAGTGAAACGACACCATGTGGCATGACAATATTTTGTTTACATACATGTATCGCCACTTTACATGGCACGACTCTCATGAATCCCAACGCAAATTAAATTATTTAGAATAAAAACAAACTGGTTGTTTTCTCACTACTTTACGCTATAGTTTAATTGGCCAGTAGTTGGCTACTTTGTTAATTTTTGATTTTTCTAAAGGGCATTGTGAAAATCCTATTTGTGGAATTAAAGCCCAAATTTTAACTAGGATAATTCTTTCAGGTTCTGCGAGTTTTAAGCTAAAATGCATGGCAGTATGTTTTTGAAAAGTCATAATAGCAAAAAAATACATTCTTCACGCTAATTCGAACTCTAAAATTGTGTAAAGCACCTATTGGCTACTTATGTTTATTTGATAAAAACAGAATCTCTACGTATTCATTAGTGTAAGAAAAGGAATTTTTTCACTTTCACTCTTAAGGGTAGATGGTGGGTACAATTAACTAAACATCCCTCCTATCCACGTTTTGAGCACTTTTATCCCCTTCATCAAATAAACTTTAGCAAATCCTGAAAGCTTTGAGAGGGGGTTTTTATGTGGTTCCTCTGACCAATCTGTGGAGGGTCTTAATTCAGGCAAATGGTTTTGCCAACCTGGTTATAGGTCGCTTTGTGCTCATTTATTATTTGTGTATTTTTAGTAAGTAGCAGGAAAATTTTATATGAAATGTATCTCTTTGAGAAGCTGTACTCAAACATCAGCTTCCACGTAGCTAACGTTGTAATGGTAATAATAACCTTTAATGCGGTTGGATGACACTACATAAAAATTTACGGTAGCAATGAAAATTCTCGCATATAATCATTTTCTCACATTCTTCGCAACAAAGGATTTCAGGACCTCAGGCTGTATGTAGACAAAAAGCAAACAATGGGATTGTACAAGACTCTGCAATAGCGCGAGCGGTTGCGGAAGTGGAATGGCTAGTGTCTCTTATAGGAGCTAGTCAAATAAAGTTTTTACTTTTCCGGTGGGCCCACCATTATCCATTTCAAATAAGCATAATTGTCAGGCGCTTCCGGCAACTACAACATTGGCTGGTTGCTGCTGGTTACCAATACAGTCATGACAAACAGTTGCCTGACCAGCTCGCGCACATAGCCACGCGGTTTCCGGTTGTACGCGGCTGCACAAAACTAGAGTCCAGCAAATAATTGAAGACACCGATTCCACCCAACTCCTAACCTTTGCTACAATTATCGCTGCCAAATATGTTAGCTTTGGTATAAGCTGATTCATCCCTGACTTTTTCACTACTTCTGAACTATCACAATTACAGGAAGTGAAATCTGGTCAGATATTGCCCTTTCATTTCTGAAGAAGCCCTTAATTTATTTACATTACCAATTTTTAGCAAAGTTAATTGTGCTGTTTCTCACATGTACCGATAATTTAATGGCCCGCGCGCATATTTCTAAAGGGCTAAATTTTTAATCAAATGGTCCACGGACTGATAGCCCATGCCTAATTCATGGACCACTCTACGATATGCTTATATTTATTTGTAGGTATGTACGAAAGTTACAGAAAACATAAAGTTTTCAGGAGGTAGTGCTGATTAATGTAAAATAAAGCGTCCACATTTGTGCATTCAAGCATATGTAAATTGAAAATGTCCTCACTCTGTCTCATAAGTAAAATTGAGTCTCTATGTCGGTTGCTTCATGTTTAAAAGTAGTAAATTACACCGCTATTCAAGCCGAAAATTTCGCCTATACTTTTTTAGCTGCCATCTGTAATATTGTATCATGATAGCTGCCAACAACAACCATGTGTAGACGCTTCTTATGAATGCCTTCACTAAAACAGCTGAAATTTTAGCAAATTTTTTTGCAAAGTCGGTTTCCTAGAAAAGCAACGTCATAATGATCAAACGGGGTAATGCTACTCCAGTACTCTTATTTGTATACTTATAAGAGATGCTTTGTTTGAAAGGAAGGCATTTTTGAGTCCTAAAGTATGGCATTTTTGCAGATCGAGTGATTGCCCGTTAACACCCGTGCATGTTGTTAAGCGGGCCGAAATTCACAAAGAAAGCATTCAGTAATAACTTGTAACAGACTAGGCCTTCTTCAATGCTACCACTGACCGCTGGAACACATTATTAAGTTCTCGAATTCCGCTTCCGAAATAACAGTAAAGATTCGATAATTGCTTTAAATAAATAAGACCCTTTATGGCGTTATTTCTCCTTTTTAAAATGCTAACCAGCAAAGGCTCCGATGGTTATGAACTGCTGCAGACTTTATAATTAGGTGCATTTTATAGGCATTAATCAAGCTTTTATCTTAAGAGCAGTAGTAGTAGTCGCGGTAGTCAAATAATGTTTCGTTTTGGATTTAGATTCAGCAAATTCCGGTATCGTGAAGTCAATTACAACCTGTTATTCGCGTTTTCCTAACCCCCAAGAGGCTAACTGTAGGGTGTTAGCAATGAGCACTCTGCTCTGCGCTCGCGCTCCAAAATGATCATTTGAGATCCACCCAGGTTTCTAAATCGTCATCTTTCATGCAGGTGCCGGATATCCTCACGTACATGTTCCCACGTCCAATTTGTCAAGCATGTTTTGCCCTCTGGAGTGTGCTATACATTTCGAGGGGAACTGAAACGTAGGTTACCATTCTCTCCCATTTCTAATATTGACATTAAAATCAGTATGACATACTGATGTGTGTCTAATTATTAAAAACAGAAAACACGTGACCATAAAGTTCGTGTGGTTTTCACCATAACTTAATGGAATGACCTGCTTCAACTTGTATAAACTTGTAAAATCCGTGCGATTGTTTACATTCATGTGCGCATTCTAAAGCATAGATATGCATCAGTATCCCGGTACTATTCTCATGTCATTTCTTGCACTTATGTCATACAATGTCAGTCTGACCTGGTGTGACCCAAGATCGTCTAATTTACGGACTGATTACCCTCAAAAACTAATGTGCAATATTTGTAGTGGAGGTGTGCGGTAACAGAATTTAGTTTCGATGACAAATCATTAGTTGATGGTGCATTATTCATGAGAACGAAGAATTCTCACCGCTGCTCAAAATGATTAAGGATCAAGGTGTCAGGATCAGCTTTTAGGGGCGTTTAAGGTGGATGATGAAACTTTTTGTTTACTTCTACATTAATCAGGTCCTGTCTACTTTTCATACAAAAGTGCATAAAGTTATTCGCTTACATATTAGATGCTTGATGATGATTGTTTGAAGGTCTCAATGCTGAATGATTTATTGAAGATGCATCTTAATACTTAAGGCTTCCGATTACCTATTCATCGCTGTCCAACTAAAATTGCCTATTCATTTTAAAGGTGATCCAATTTTTAATCTTTAAGAGTGGCAAAGTCCATTCACTTCCAGAGTAACAAACGATTAAGTTTCCATTTCAACAATGATTATTCTGCTCATCAAGTCATTTATTTTACTCATATTTTGTCGTGAAAATTAGAATGCTTGACTGTCTGTAACGAAAACTGCCTTAAGTTGACAATGGTTTTAAGAAAATCTAAAGAGTGTAAAGTGAATTCGAAACCACCTAAAGGTAATTAGACATTTCGCATATTTCAGGGGGCTTTTGTAATTTCGCAACAACCATATCAAAAAAAATTTTCGAATCAATAGGAGTAATTTTATTTGCGTTGAAAGGCGTGAAATTTTGTTCTTCAAGGTTGTGCACTCAATAATTTATCATGCTTCATTGTGTGTAGCCTCCGAGAAATTGCATCTAGAGCTTGATCCAGAGTCCGTGGATTATCTTATTCCAAACAGTGGCCTTGTTGGTTTTCGGTTCCTCATCCACGAGACACCTGAACCGCACTGGGTGCATCACCAGTCAGCTGTGTTCCTTGGGGCACAGTTTCACACCATGCTTCGTCTCGTTGGAACCCGAAAGGTACATCACCTATAAACAACGACACATTGTTTTGTGATACATTTACTGCTAACTGTCATGCACCCATAATCTCATCCCAATGATTCTTATATCAAATATATCCTATAAATGAGGATTCAGATGTGTAAAAGCAATCCCTAATATTGACAAATAATTCACAGGCTTGGCTACTGCTATGCGTTGGTTATGTTAAAAGGTTTTACGTTAAAGACAAATAAATACGTTTTTGCGAATCTTGACAATAGCACTGAGTCAGAGAGGTATGAGGCCTTTAGATTATTTTATCGAAGATTCTTCCATTATATTTCTTCATTGACTTTAACTATGGACCGGAGTTATCCCCTCCTTTTTAGCATGTTTTTTTACAGGAAAAAATATTTTACTGTTCCACTCTATCATTCTATCTCTAGGGCTATATAAGATACTACGCAGTACACTTGTATTCTCTTGTAGTAGTATATCCAAGCCATTACCTTGATACGCTCGCTATCAGATGCGAATTTGGCCAAGCAGATATCTGACGTCAGTTTCGGTTTTTGGCACATGGAGGCCAATCAAATCATCCCGTGTCTTCTTAGGGACGTTTCTATTTTGCTGCCTGATGAATATATCGTTAATTTTAGTAGATCATGCAACAAATTTTTAAAAATGGAAGCACGCCATCATTGCAGACCCACTTTAGGACTGCTTTCAAAAGATATATACAATCATGTTTTTCCTGAAAGTATTTACTAGTTAAATGTCATATTAGCTTTGCATTTGAATAATATCAACCGTATCATCTTAGTCGCTTTAGCCAAGTCTTACCATAGATGGGCAGATTAACTTTTTCTCATGGTTTAACTCACTACTGCCTCCAGATATCTATTAGCACATCAAGGATCCAAGTGTATCAAAGTGAAATACCCTTGACGAAAACGCGAAAACAACAATAATTGAAGCAGAGGGATGCAGGAGAAAATGCAGGAACTGTTAATTCTTCCGATAGCGATCATTGTCCATATCACCGACTGCGTCTCTCGAGAAGTGGCAGTTCCCAACATCTTAGGGACAGTTTTAGCCGCCCGTTTCTCCAGCCACTTTATCTGGCGACTGTCGCGTTATTCTACCCTGTGAAAAGTCAACAAACGTTGTGGTTGCAGAGCGCATTTTGAAACAACTTTTTGTAACACACTGCCTCGTTTTTAAAGTGCATAAACATTTAACTGTTTGTAAACTATTAACATTTTTTCAATTCAAATTCTTCGGTAAGGATTTTTCGTATCTGGTAATGATGCAGCGATTTTTGTGCAAGTTGGATACTGTTTTATAATACTGCCAGAAAATTAGTTTTGTAGACTAAAACTCGGTTATTTCAACGTTACTTAATGAGGACATCCGGAAAATGACTGGCGTTCGTAAATGATTGTTTCTTACTTTTGACTTCGATTTTCCCTTTTACGCCTCTATCAGGAACCGCCAGTTTGGCAGACTGAAATATTAAAACTAATATGCTGAAATTTAGATGTATTTTTGATTTACCTTGGGAATTGTAGATCTTATGGGTTTTGACGATTAATTAATGTGGAAGTAATAAGTTATACATGTTCTTCAACTTTGACCATGCTGATACTTTATTTACCTTAAATTTCTCATGGTTTTTGCACAAAAGCTTGCTAACACCCAAATGCTAGTGTTTTGCCAATGCTATTAAGACATGGCCTCAGGAATACGGTTGCTCAATCGTGCGCAACTCCTTAGGACTGGTGCAATGCAGATTGCTCATGTTCAGATTGTCATTACCAGTAGGCACAGCAACTGCTTGACGATGGCACTAGGAATGACTCATTTTCTTTGCAAATTATTTGTTTTAACAAATAGGAAACTGACTGAGATGTTTTATGATTGTAGTTACCCTTACTTATTGTTATTTTCATTTTGCTAAGTCATAAACCGAGTGATGTATTCAAAGTTACATTCTTCATCGAACTAAGTACGTGTGCGCCTAAATTTCCAGATTTAGGATTCACAAAGCATATAAGTACCCTTTTAAAAGAAGGTAAACAGTGCATGAATTTGATCTGAATCGACTTTTAAAGCTTGCACTTTTTACGTTGTGTTTGAGGTCCCTATTACTGTTAAGGGAAAAGTAGAAGTCAATTTTCACGGCTCTTTGGTCTATTAGGAAGTGTTGACTGCTCTGACTTGAGCCTCTAACGACCTTCGGATTTAAATGTCAATGATTATGGTTATACACAAGAATATCGGACAGTCCAAACCATGAAAACAACATTGATTTTCTCTATAATTAAGAAAATGAATAGCTTCTGAAATAAAAATCTCTATGAGATGCATATAGCATTTAAAACACCAACTTTACCTGTTAAAATGCCAATGGCAGAAAAGGATGCTTCAAAGCGAAACGAAATAGGTTCCAAATCGTGTGAAAACCAACTCCTTTTAAAAACTTTTTTTCTGTTTCCGTCAATGTTGGCAGGTCCATGAATCTGACTGCGTTCCTCAACGAACATGGGAAGCCTGTTTACGAAAGTGCCTCTTATTTCGAATCCAGAAGGAATGTGGTTGTATATTCAGCGGTAATGTTTTTCAATCGGCTCCGCAATTTCAGAAGGAATTTCGTAAATGTGCAGGCAACCTTAATTTTAGTTAGTGCACGTATGATTTCTAACTCACCTACTTGCCAATTACAATACATCTGAATTAGATGGATTTTCGGGAAAGGAAGTGCCACCATCCCGAAGATAGACATTCGCTATCTGGGAGCCATTTGGTATACCAAACTTCTCTCACTAAATTTCATAAGTTGAATTTTAAGGTTGCACCATATTTTTTTAATGCGTTTTGAAGTCATGATCCTCTGTTTGAGCTCTGTATTAACAGGCGTTTTTTGTCATTTAGCCAGTAACGACGGATGCAATCTTGAGTCCATTTCAAACTGCAGTATACAACTCGATGTTTTGCAAGGTTCGGTTCCCGATATGCAAATACTTGGAAATGCATCGACTGTAAAATCTACGAGGAAATCTTCTGGGCTTCTGTTCACTTCTGACTCCCTCATTTAAAAAATTAAGCACTGTGGTGGTCCAGAAATCATACACTCATAATCGCGCCTGGTGAAGTTCTAAGTTTTTATCTAACGGGTATTTTGCTCTTAGACGTTAGGATCTGTTATTTTTCAAAGTATTAATCCAATTATTTGATCTGCTGAGTGCACTGCTCAAGTTGGCGCCTACGGAATGCACAGGTTAGGTGCGTGGCTTGAATTGAGATGCAGAAGTGGGGATGTTGCTGAAAAAATCATGTGCATCTCTTGAGGAATTTGCAGTTCTCATCTTCAAATATTAATTACATAATGCTGGCAGCGAAAGTAGTCATAATAACGCATTTGCAAACTAACTTATGTCGCAGAAAAGGCACTTTATTGTTGGGTTCGCCCAAACTAATAATAAAATAATGTGTTTAAACCAGCCTCAATTTATCTAGTGGTCAATCAATTACACTTTTATAGTGCAATGAAGAGGACTATATCTGATATTGTACGCATTCTTTAGTGGATAATTATTTATGCTAATCAAGGTGTCCCAATTTCCTAACAAAGTAGAGCACAGGGAACCTAAATGCACTTCAAAAATAGTAACAGAGCATTTATAGCCCAGTGTTCCTTAAAGTGCTAAAGCGTTTAACTTCACTACTATGGACACATAAGTCGAAGCTAGTTGTGTACCAGGGTATATTATGAAAAAAATATAAATAGTTAAGTTCACTAATTAGATAATCTCTTGGAGCATAACCATATTTCTCTTCTTAGAGTCGATTTCACTCTCAGCTTGCAGCTGCATAGGACCCTGTGACCAACTCGTCTACACCTATGAGTCGATAACTCAGGCGTGGCAACCTTTTTTTCTTGGATTCCGGAGATTTCGAAGATTCCAACCCTTGCACCCTCGGAATGCATACAACCAATCAAACCTAGATGAAAAAATCCCACGAGCATTCAACCGATATTGGTTAAACTCGCCCAAACAAAGTGAAAAAGACTATCAGGTGGTAGCGAGGCTCACAATCAAATGTCTTATTATCACCATACTCAGGTGCTCATAGTTCCCACGTATTTTAGTTGTCCGCGTCCGTTCAGTTGTGGGCATTCCTTCGAGAGGCCAACCGTAATGTTTTTCACGAACTCATGAGTCTGGATGAAACTCTACTTAGCCTTCATCGTCTAATCAAAGCGATGCTAAATGTGGTGAAAGTAATAGGCCAAGCGGTCAACTACTCAAGAGGCGGCGGGAGCCATCTCATGAACAGCCTTCTTCATGCTAAGGGAAAGAAAATTAGCATTTTCGATGAAAACTGCCTGGATCAGGCTGAGCAAACTGGTATGCTGGCAAGGGTTAGCCAACTCAGTGATGCCTTCACAAACCGACTGCAGGAGTCCTTTCTTTTCAACACAACCCAGGCCACTGTACAACTGAACTTGATTATGATTTTTCTCCAGCGGAGCCCTCTTGACTTTTCGCGGCTTTTGAATGATCTTCGAATAAGTGACCTCATCTCCGATGTGACGGTGCTTGAACTTCGCAGGAATGGCCAAAAGTGCCTCGATGCAGCCCACGGTGTTAATGGGCTTTTGAGTAACTTCACCGTGAGGGAATTATTCCCTCTCAATTCTTCCGTGACTAGAGCTGGTGACGTGTCTCGTGGCAATGGAAATGTAATCTCTTCGTTGCAAGCGATGCTTCTTGCGACGGATTCTAATTTAAATAAACTTAATGTGGAATTTTCACGCTTATATGACCAAAATAAGGTGCTCATTCAGGAGATGAGAGGTCTGCTTGCGTCTCAGTTATCAATAGAGCAGCGTCATAGGTAAGCATACCGTCTCTGCCTTTGTAAGAGATCGTTATGATTCGATCTATGACTTTTTTACTTCTGTTTCCAGTCGGGTAGCTGTTACAGTGCAAATATCCTCAAGGCAAGGTTTGTCCCTTCGACTGAAATCATCAGAATCACTCTTTAACAAAAACGGTAAATAGAATGCCATTGTTAATTATATTTTTTTGTCTGGTTAGCAATTTCGTACGAACGCACAAGCTGCCGACGAAGCATCTTTCTTGAAGTAGGTAGTAGTGTTTAAGGTAGAGACCAGTGATGATTATTCCATACTGCCGACGGTTGTCATATTATGGCGCCAACAAAAGAGGTGCCCTGTCTTTTCAAAGTTCACAGAAAGCCTTCTCGGACATATTACACAAAATGTCTGTTTACACTTCCATCTAATTTGCCTAATTATTCTACAATGAAAAAGGTGACCGGAAACAACTTTATGTGGCTAATACTACCATGGGTGTAAGTAGTTTTAAACACTCATTAGGAAATGCTTTGGTCTATTTCCATCATTAAATATGTAACCGACGTCTGTCTTCTAGTAGCATACTCGTAGTTTCTGCTACTAAGTTGGTTTGCTTCCTACTTATTATCCTTAGCTGAACTTTTGGATATTCTCACCTCGGCGGTAATGATTGGATCGTTTTTGGTGCTGCTAGCTGAAGGTGTGTTCACCACTATGTGGGAGTGTCGACTTCGGCCGCAGAGCCAGAAACAGGAGGACCTCCTCAAGCACCGCTTCGAGCACAGGGTACCAAGGAGCATACCCTCCCCCCTGTCATCACCATTGGCATCGTTATCGCAACAGCAGTTAGAGACTGTTGTCCCAGTCTCCACCAGATCACCGAAACCGCCTAGAGGGTCCCCGCGCTACGTCCATAGCCTATCAAGAGATCAAACGAAACTGCCGGCTTACAATGTCAAGTGGAACCACCTCACCCTCGCCCAACCTCAGAAATTCGTTGGACAATTCATGCGTCAGCAGGAGCAGCAACACCCTCTTTTCCTAGATATCACCGAGTCCATCAGTGACATTAACACACCTTCAACCTTCACTCATCCCCTCTCAGATGTTGTCTAGGGCATCTAACGTACAAATTGAATAAGTAGGTAAAACGAGAAAGTTACAATGTGGTTTGTGTTTGATCGCCAATGCTAAGTCATAAATGCAAACCGTGAAAGTTTGTTTCAAATAGACACAAGGCACGTTGCGATTTTTGCACGGTCTCATACATTCATTTGTGACCGAAATGTTAAAACATACATTTGCATTTTCAACTAAATTATACGCAACTTGCAGGAGTTTGAAAGCTAAGCGAACCGGATAACAGAACCGAGGTGGTGACGGCACCGGTGACGCACACGGGGACACGTGCACCCACGTAAATGTAGGAGTGCGGATTTGATCGGCAAACGCGCAATGAGTATGGCGCAGGCTGCATGAATGTGGTAATATCCTATTCCTTGCTAAAAGCAGAAATTAATCACTCACCTATACATGCATAGTTCGTTCGTTTTCATTTGCTTAATACCTCAAGGAACAACTACGCAAGTTTACTTGGGCCCTATGACCTGAATTTTCTTCTTAAAGGGTAAATCATCTAAATGCTGCTTAACAAATACCATAATTATAAAAATATGAACAGTCTAAGGGATTTCACATCACTATCTCTTGCAAAACCAATTGATAATATTTATCACCAGCTCTTGCTTATAATGCTTTAAGAGCTTCGTTGTTTGGCTCTACTTTTTGAGTGTGTGCTAAATGGAATTAAGTGTTGAAAGGCTTCATATGATTTAACGGTAAAACATAAATTAACTCAAATAGTTTTAGCTGCTAGCTTTCTTTTTGACAGGGTGGAACTGCACCACCTTCGAAATGTAGATGATGTACATCACCGCGAGGAGAGTGCTGAAGGCACACATCCTATTTGATTGACGAAAAATCCAAATTCCTTCCTGCTATGGTGAAGCATACTTGGTCCTTTTTGACACTTTTGTCGTACCACAACCACTTTGTAGCTATGTGTAGAGCTTGGTTCCCATAGTTCTTGTGAAATCCTCCTTACCAGACGTTTTGACAAGCCAGTGATGTGGTAAATGATCAATAAGCACTTGAAAATATGGCGCGAATTCAGGCACAAACTCGACGACATTGGGCCTGGTACTGCTGCGTTTTTTTTTCGGCAAGTTTTACAGCGACACTCGTTATGGCAGCAGAAGAATGCACAGACCTCATGTGACAAAAAAGTGCTTGGATCTTTGGTACAAGAATGGCTGTTTGCACGACAGAAATGTGCTGTTTTGGGTGATGGGGACATGCAAAATGTCTCAATTGCCGCAAATACCGAGACATTTTTTAAATATTATTGCTTTTATCGTATTGCAAAACCACTCACGCGGCAATAAACATGACCTTCCTCTGTAAAACTTGCCAGCATTCCAATTGCACGTAGAATGTCAGGCTGACCCACAGCATAAACCTGGTTCAAGTGCAAAGAGTGAGAGTTCTCAAGCCTGGGAACCTTTGGTCTGTCCAGCCATATCGTAACGACCGCTCGTTGGAGAGTGCAGCGACTGTACGCAACCGCACTAATGTCAGGATTAAACTTATGGAGCCCTAGTTTCTTACCTACCCCCAATTAAATGTACCATACCATAAAGACAATTCTTCAAGTAGCAACCACGCTTGACTGCGTAGTCCTTCAATGAGCACGACGGCCTTGGCCAAAAACAATAACAGACCGAGGGTGAAAATCGAACAGTCTTCACTCACAAAGTAGCGCATTCGTTCCCGAAACCATGTGTATTAGTTAAAAATATGTTCAGTCTAAGGCAGACGACGCATATTCTATGGAACTGCCCCACATTTGGTCCAGTAATAATTATGCAAGGAACTCTATCAACAAACTGAGAAGGACAGTACAAGATGTATTAATGGAACAGGAAAAATGGATGGAGTAAAATTACATGACTACATTGAGAGAGGCGCTGTTAAAACGACAGAGGAGCGATGATATTGTGCTCGAGGCGGCTGATGCGGCGCGTCGTGTGGTCACTATTGTGACATGGATTTTTATCTGTTGCAACGGAACTCTGTGGACTTAGCGAGGGCTCTAGAGGCGATGCATTGGGAGTGGAGTCAAGAGATGGAAGGGAGGCTTCTTGGTTTCGGTCCAGTTGATCGTGGGTGGTGTTTGGTACAACCATACGAGGTGAGTCTGGAGAAGCAAAGCCAGAAATGCTGTTCAGGGTAAAAAGGGTCCGACTATCTCTCCTGTACTTCGGATTCACCATATCTAATAGAAATAATGAACGAAGAGCCCGATTTATAATTGACAGAACTAACAAACTTGCAAAGTGGAATACAGGAGTAAAAGTAAATTGAGTGCCTTGGAGACTTTAGACTCTTCAGGCAGTGGATACAATATGATATGATTTACCCACATTTGGAGCCTAGCTACAAAATAACGAGAAGCATAACAACCAGTTTATCCACAGAAAGCCCGAAGATACCTGAAGCAGACGCCGAATCGGAAGAGCGACCAGAATTGGTGTGAAACAGACGAGCTCTTTCAAACTCGTGCATCATACTTCGTAAATGCTCAACTTCCACCTGGGTGGAGAGTTTCCTCAACCTGTAGTCATTATCAATGTCCAAGGTACCGGTTTTGCTAGGACCACAGCAAGCACTGTCACTGAGACCCCTCGAGGATAGAGCATCGCAATGGTGGCTACTGGAAGAGTAGACTGACGCGCCATTCCCATTACTTTCGTGAAGGGAAGGTTTGGCCGAAATGACCACTGAGGAGGCCATTGTGACGCCCACGTTACGAAGTCGCGATCTTGAAGCAGGAGACCCACCATTATTATCCTCGTTCGACTGTAAATTTAAAAGATCCACCAATCCAACGTATGGATGATCTGTTGTCACCTAAACACAAAGCCGTAGAGAATCAACTACTAGTCCAGAAAGTTTACATTAATAAATAAAATTAAAAGTGTCCAATCACAACATTTTCCAGATCATAACACAATGTAAACATTGTTATACTAAGGTTGAATTTTTTACAGACCGAATCGAATCATTAACAACGATTTCGTTGGCAAAAATGCAGGCCAATACTTTTCTTATCACAATCTACAAGCAGACATAGCCATCTGAAAAACCAGAACATCCGACAAAACATTTGTTGCACACCACAAAACTTACTTCGATTTCAATAGATCTACAGTATTATCTTAATATAAAATAGGCCCTATGAAAATACAACAGCAACAACAAAGCTAGAGTAAAATTTCATTAGAATGAATCTGAAGACAATAATTAGGTGGACATTCAAGAAAGCGAGGATGAAAATAAGCTATCAAACAACAGTTAAATTCAACCAAGTTCAAAGGAGAAGTTAACAGGAGGAGGTTTACGCGAGCTAAGTATCCAATGATGAGGGAATTGGTTAGTGAAGGAACGCCTCGGCATTCTGAAGGACACAGCATATTGATTGTTGGTTGACCGAAGCTTAATTTTGGAGGTTCTTGACATGATGAAGAACGAAGGCGCCGACCTTCGAAAAAAGTAATTAAATGTGGAGAGTTACCAGTGAGTCTGAATTGCTCTCCATGAGGAACGGAGCGATGCCTTGAATATGGAGCCAATTTCAAAATAGGTACATTTGATTCGTTGGTAGAGTACGAAAGCACCTGTAATGTGTCTGACGCTAACTGGGCCTCACGTACAAGACCATAAATGTAACCGCTTTGATATATACCGATGGAAGTTTGGACATGCTGAAAAATGTCACCGATTTCCGAAGATGCCGCCGGTTGTACGTTCTGCGGGCACAGACATTTAGACAAACTGGAGAACTACATATAAAAGGAGAATATACGATTAAGAGAAGCGCGGATCTACGTGCTTACTAAAACAAGCAAAAGCCTTACTCAAGCAATCGTTAAAGTATTGGTCCAATAGATTCAAAAGCACAAGCCCTCCTTTAGCCATCGCCAATGTTAAAAGGTAGGCCAGCAGGCAATTTATCTAGAGGCTACTTATTACCAAGCAGATAGTGAATCTACGACTAGTTTTACAATCCCCGACAACCAGCAAAAGTAACCTGATTCAAAATAAGTGGGAATTTGGAAACACATGAAATATTGAGAATGTAAGGCAAAATGATCGGCATTATAGCATCATTCAATTTAGGGAAGCTGCCATGGTGACTCCTCAGTTGTGTGTTATCCCGGTGATTAGCAACAAAGGAACTGCAAGAAAATGAACACCCATATCTTGTATAATTTCAACACCCGGAAAAAAATATAAATTGCCTCGACGTTATGCATACAACTTGCCTCGGAGATGATTTAATTCACCATAAAATTTATGAATTCCACACCACTTTAATGAAGTGTAGGGTTGATAAACTTCCAAGTCATTAACTAAATCTTGCAACTATATAATGATTGTAGAAATTAATTCACTTAAAACAAACGACAGCCAGAAAGAATGTATTTTAAGACTGATGTGTAAGAAAAGGGGATGGCAAAAAGGTCACGTTACTGCTGATCTTAGTAGCATATGGTCCCTAACTAACACGAACTCACTTACTACAAACTTCTACATGTGTTCCATGTTCACCACCAAATGGTTTTTGGGGTATCCCCATACGTGTTAAAAGGATGCTTATAAAATATGCAGTGTAATGAAAGCTATAAGAACAAGTATGCAATATAAAAACCCACGAACATAAAAGCTTACATCAGATATCGACCAGGCACGTTGACGTTTCGTCTGTGTCATTCAACTTATCAAAAAGCGAAGGAGCCAAAGTTCATAAAACCTGTCGGAGGTGCATGAAGCGTAATACTAGCTGTGTGCGCAGAATTGCACACATCGGTAAAAAAGAAGTTAATGAATAAATGTTGTAAAATAGGGCACTTGTGGAACAGTCATGTTTCCTGCAGAGCGATTAACTAGTTCTAACGATGCTATCGAACGTACAAGGATGGGTCGCGTTTTCAAGTAACATGAGAACGATTTCTTTACAGCAATGTGTAGCGACATGTTGAATATGCGAGGCGCAAAACCGACGCCTTTTGAAATTGTGCCCGTAACCACGATGTAAAAGACAAAGCAAAACAATATGATATGAAATACATAAGAAAGTACAAAATATAATATCATAGGCAGATAAAAATCTCTGCTACAAATGCCCTATTTAGGAAAAAAATACAGTTGACTTTTACAAGGCAAAAGAAAAGAGCCTAATTAAATGTAAAGACAAATTATTTAATATATCATGAAATTGAAGTGGTCACCTACTAACTTTATTGTGACATTTGTGTGCTTCTGTTGAAATAACTTAAAAATTGACTGGGATAAGAAGTAACTTCTTTTCTGAATACGATATACTGTTTTTGAATCCCATTCTGTTAGGTTAATACGTAAGGCCGATTAAAATGCAAGCCCTAGGTTGCTTAGGTGCAAACCGTCTTCGATTTCGGATTGCAGTTGGAGGAATATTTGCAGAAATAAAGAAAATACACCTAAAATGCCTGTTAGTTTTTTCACAAAAATTGTTTAAAAAATAGAAAAATTGCACTAATATTAACTTTTAAAAAAAAGTAATTTGCTGCTTTTCTCAACATTTTGGAGTTTTGTAGAATCTCGCCCTTTATTTTGTTTGACTTCGCCTTCTTGTGGCGACCAACTCAGATTTGCTGCTCGCCATAATGTATAACGGAATTGGTTTGCCGACGCCTAGAGGTAGCGGGACCAACGGTTATGTACAGCGAAACCTGGCATATCTTACTACCTACAAGGATAAAATTAATTACAAAACAGACGGAGATGCTAAACGTGTGGATGCACTGGCGTTTAAAGAGCCTAATAAGGATATACTGATGCACGAAAAAAAGCGGCAGGTCGAAGTGAGGTGCTTTGAACTGCAACAAACGATGGAGGACCAGGGGTATACTGAAAGGGAAATTGATGAAAAAGTTTCAGCTCTGAGGAAGGAGCTTATTTCTAGGCTTGGTGACGACATTGCTCCCAGGAGTCTAGGTGAAGCATTTAAATCGGGTGCGACCATTATTCCAGATGCCAACAGGCTTATTCCGCGAGGTACACACGAAACTGCAGCAGTGGCAATTCTGAAGAATACGGTTTTTAAAGAAGCTTTGGGGATAGGTGAGGATTATGAAGATGGAAGTGCGATGCAAAGCTCGCGCGAACGACGTCGACAAGCTGAGGAGGCGAAAGCTCTCTTCGAGTCTCAGAAGAGTTTGAAGTGAGTTTTACCAAGTTTTGGGAATTTTGGAGGGGGTATTATACTGCTGTTGGTCTGCTAAACGCTTGGACAATTTTGAAACCCCAATTTGTAGTCGTTTTCTGAAATTCATATATTATGTGCACCACATTCTGTACATTTATTATCACCTGTGTGTTTTTTGTTGTCTCTGGGTTTTTTGTCGCTATTTACTTTAGCTTATACCCCCTTGAGCTTTGTATTTTTGATGAAGCTATGTTAGGCACCCTATGACCGAGTCGAGCTTTATAAAACTGGTTTTCCTGTGGTGCTGGAAGGGTACATTTTCCCTTTTACTTTGAAGGACGCTGAAATCTTCGTCAGAAGAATCCGATGAGGACGACGAAGGGACTAAAAAGGAAAAGAGCATTCAGAAACACAAGAAAACTCACAGTCATCGTAGAAAACATAAGCGAAGTAGGAAGGATTCGGCAAATTCTTTTTCGAATTCAGCTTCTGAGGCGGAGTCCAAGGAGAGACGAAAGAAGCACCGCAAGCTCCATCAATGAATGAGTGCCCTGGGAGATTTTTATCCCGTTCTCCCCCGAAACAGTGTACATATTGATGAGGTCTCGACTGTTCTTGCTTTCAAGGAGTTTCTTATCTGGCTGTTTTTTTTTTCCTCAGCCCTGCGGGTGGGGAGTTTGTGCTGGTGTGGGTGTCTCGTGGCGCGAGGATGTGGCTCGTGGGGGCAATTATCATTATGATCTGGCCTGGTGGTGGTCCATGGTTAGGGTTCCCTAAGTTATGGCAAATAAGGGACTTGGTCCCACTCATTGCCTTGATGGTTCAGGGTCCATTTTCCGAGACTTATCCATGGCTATGATATTTGACGGCGAAGAAGCATATAACCTTTTTTTCATCTATGAGGGGTCTGTGCAATGATTAATAATTAAGGAGCGTACACTTGATTTTTCCATGTAATATTCGTAAAGCAATGCTGCACTTTTTCAAGCAGTGTGCAATTGGGACTTCATAACTACATTCTTGTTTTTAAGAGGCAATGTTCACAATGTGTTTGATTCCATTAAAATGGTTTTCGTTGGCTGACCTTGACGCTAAATAACAATTTAACGATCACTTTTATTTCTCTTTCATAATCTTGACATATTGTACTTAAACTGGTCCGTACTGCTCCACTTTTATTCCCTCGGCTTTTACAAAATTATTCATGCATAGCGCTACAAAGAAACCACACTTCAACCTGATATCTGTTCATGCAATATAAATTATTAGTCGTCTTAAGACCAACCCAATGGATGTTGAATTAAACAAGAGGAGTATGCAACTCATTTATGTAGTCGCTATTTTAGACACATTTATAAAAGCACAAAGCAACGAGTTCCTGGGTGTGTATTGCGGGGATGACTACTCAAGTCATATGAGTGTCCATGGCACGGGAACCAACGTATTTTTAACAACTGGGTCACAGTATCCAAAGAAATCACATATCTCCCTATTTTCCTTGCTATACAACAAATGTAAGACATTTCTCACTAAATTTTTAGTTGGTTTTGTCAGTTATGATTTGTGTATTTTGTTCATCTTCGATGTAAATTCCATGAATTTCACCTAAAATGGGTTTCCCCATTTACAAACTAATCCATATGCGCCAAATAACATTCTTCTTTACAATTCCATCCAAATTATTGTCTGTAATTAGCATTTATTGTTACCGGGGAACTCCTCTGTGCAATAAGTTTTATGCTTTCGAGTTTTTTCAATTTTAACTTTGCAAGGACTTGCTTTGTTAGTAAGAAAGACTTGTAAACTCGGTTTACCTACAGTGTGTAGGAAATTTTTCTAAAAGAGGTGTTACTGGATTGAATAAACAACTTGTATCGAACCGATCTTCATAACACACAGTTCTTATTTCTCAGTCAACGCTCGGCAACGATTTACCCCAGGTTTCCGGAGCTTTCAATCAAATACGGATCTTTCAACATTAACCGATATTCCATGCCTTGTAAACAGACTTACTTCGCCAAATGCAACCGTTCAAGCAACTGCTGCTGCGTGCATACAACACCTTGTGTATAAGAATGACGATGCTAAGGAAGAGGCACGGTAAAGCAATTTTGCTAAAACATTAGCATAAATCGTTTTTGTTACTGCTACTGTTTAATCATGTCCAAACATTTATAAGCTAGACTAGGACTGAATTTAAGGGTTTTCTATTATTTAAAAAGAAGAGGAATTCAAAAACATAATTTAGGATTCACAACTAAATGGATATTTTCAGGTCTTTTAGGGTTTTTCTAGCTTTGAATCATGTTTTACAAAATATTTTTGTAGATTTCCTTTTCTCATTAACTCAGTAAGTCGCTTTAAATACATGTATGTCATTACCATATTTGTCGTATTATGTTGCGCCAGTATATTTAAAATCTGATGTCTAGATTAGCATAGCTCTTTTAGTCATTGCGTAAAATGATTGTCGAAAGTGGATTATCATAAGCTGAAGTACTCCCCATTCCTCTTTTACTTCAGGCGTGCTGGTGGACTTAGTAATTTAATTGGGTTACTCATATCAAAGGAGCCATCCGTAATTGCAAATGCCACTGGAGCCTTACGAAACCTTACCTCGGGCTCAAATGTCTCACTCTGCGTATGCACAGTTTTCATACTCCTTTTTAATTTTTTCGAGTAAATTTACTCCAAATTTAGACAGGTTGCTTTTTATTTCAGTTAGAGTTTGAAAGGCTAAATGGAATAAATGCACTTGTTTGGCTCCTGAAACAGCAAGGCTTAACGTCGACCGTATCTTAAAAGCACTAGATAATACCTCTTCCATTCTTTGCAATATTACATCTATTGAATCAATAAAAGGACGAGTAGTGGTTGAAGCGGTGATTCCAGTTCTTGTGACAACAGTCCTGATACCGGTTGCAGAAGCCACTTACAATGGTTTTGACAGTTTTACCGATGGCAACCCACCTCCATACTCAACCGTTCTCTATCGTAATTGCACCGCAGTTATACGGTATGTGAAATTGCTTTCAGTCCCTAGATTATAAGTTATCGACTTCTAGACACATTCAAACTTTACATGAGCTCAAGTAATTGTTTTGAGTTACTGATATTTATTTTACATCGTGTGTTAACGTGACTGACACCATTGATAAAACTACTTATTCTAAGAATCTTCTAAAGTTTTTGAAGCAACACAACTCTCAATCGTCTATTAGCCAACGTAATAAGCCGTCAAAAGCCAATATTTCTCAATGCAGGACACCGTCGTTACGCCCAGTTCTGTCTTACAATTCGAAATGATTAAATTAGTAACCACACATCGGAAGCAGCGCACTCGATTTTCGAAAGTTTAACAATTGAGGAATTTATTTCACTGCAGTTATATGGGATTTAAAGTTATGGTAGGAAACTTGTCCATACCAATGGATTTGAAAGAAGATTAAACCTAAACAGCATTTTAGTACCCTTTGTACTAGGTAGGATGTGAGCAAGTAGAAGGAATGAGTGAATTTGGCACACCTTTAACAGGAATATGAGCTGCTGCGAGGATGCAAACACGCGCGCCCAGTTAAGAGGGTGCGTGGGGTTACTGGATAGTCTGCTGCAGGTGATGTGCGTGGCCGCAGCCACGGGTCTGGCGGACACGAAGGCTGTGGAAAATTGTGCCTGCGCCGTCCGCAACCTCTGCTTCTCTCTAGGAGAGGTCACTAAGCCGTTGGGCAGCCACCTTCTCAAGAGGACGCTTAGAAGCCGCAGCCATGGCAGAATCGCCGAGGGGAGGAAACAGAAAGGTTTTGGCTAGTTTTGAATCGGTTCATTTATGCTTGTCTACTACTCTGGCTCGAATTTTCAGTAGGGTTCGCTTGAGGTTCTATTGCTCCAGGAACATTCGAGTTTGTGGTATTGTTTCAGCATCAAGTTTCTTAAAAGTCTGTTGGTGTTTTGATAATGTTTTAAATAGTTCTTTGTAAAAAATGCGTTAGTAAATCGAGGAATGAACCTAAATCTTATTTACCACTTTTATAGTCGACGCCGTTTGCCGTCTGGTAACTTTTATTTAACAGAGCTACCATTAGGCATTCCGGAATACCAACTTGATTTTATTGTCTTTTTGTTTATAATTTTTTCTGTTTATGGTCAGTGCTTCTTGAGAAATAAGTTAATTTGTGTTGAGCTAGTTCTTGGACAACATATTTTTGGTATTTCTGCCCATTTAGCTTCAACATTTTGGGAACCTTTCAATGCCTACGGAAATATTTAGGTCCATCCTTAAGGTGAGGTTTTACTACTTTGAGTTGCCATCCTTTCAAACAAATTGTCGTTTACATTTCTCAGCCTGGGTTTCTCTACGTTTCAAGTCTTTCACGAAAAACCAAGTATCGTACTTCGCCAAGAGAAACGTACCTCCTTATGTGTATTCCATTGAAATGCATAAAATGTCGAATTTCAAATTTTCATTGAACTTTATTATATCGGATTCAGAGGCTTTGCCCAAGTGTTTGAGCGTTATGTCCCAACATAACCTTCACCCTCTTCGGCCATCGAATGTTGTATAAATGCGTTTGAGTGCCCCACTGTTAATTCTTTTCCTTCTATTCGTATCAATGACCACTTTCAAATCAGGGACCCCTTTTTTGCCACCTTACCGAAGACATTTGCAATTATACCATTGCATCTTGAATTAATTAACTTTAGTTTCATCTCACGGTATTGCATGGTTGGTTATTCATTAGCATGCGGTACGGATGACTAGTTTCACGGAATCAAGAAATTTTTTCTTGTATATCGGCATTCACTAAAACACAATTGTGAAATGGCTGACGCTGTTACAATTGCACTTCAAGGTGATCAAAATTTTGCAAAATATTACTGAATGCTTGGAAAGCATGCAACAGGCTTGTATTTTTCTTGCCTTTCCCTATTCAATTTACTTTTCGCATTTAATATTATTTGATTGTAAAAGACAAAGTCCTTCATGTAGTATATTTTTGTGAATCTGTAAACCTTGTAAGTAGGTGCATATTCACTACAAACAACGCAGAAATTACTTCAATCCTAAATCAAGTGAAATTTTAATTGAATGCCCACTAAGATACATCCCACGCCAAGAGAGTGCCCATTATACGGCATTTAATGCGTCCCATTAAATCCACACTTCAGATTCCATAGTTCTAAAAATACTTTGTCACAATTTAATAGCGATCACAAATTATGCTCGAATTAAAGTGCCATTTATTCAGGATACAAATTCGAGTCATTTGAAATACTTGCAGTTTTTTACCAAAAGTGGTAGAGGTTTCTGTGTCGCATTTGAGCTAGGCTGTAGCCACTACTCACACCAGTTAATGTTCTCCTAATGTGAATTGAGAACAGACTAAAGTACACACTCAATCTAAAGCTTTGGGCAAATAAGCGCTGATAACTTGTCCATATTTCTTTGAATGGATTTTGAAAGGAATTTGGCTGAGTGGAAAGAGCTACCCTGGGGCATGCATCGTCATGAATACGCAAACTACAAAAAGTTAATGAGCGTCATAACGCCTTAACCAATTGTTGTGGTATAATTTGGTCTTCCAGGTTATGCTTCAAGAGGGCAAGTGAATGCACATCTGTCAACTGTCAAGCTTTAGTTGCTTACATCTGTAACATGAGTCAAGTAGCAAAACAGTAAGTCTTCGGCTCTGTGTGGGTTTTTGATGATCAAATGCTTTAAAAACAGCATATCTTCCACTGTACAAAATGATTCCTCATCGGCTCCGACTTTCGTATGCATGTGGACTTTCCAGAAATTCAAAATGTTGTCGCTAAACTTTACTTAATTGCTAGCACACCTTTTGACTGGCTATTTTATATGTTCTTATTTCTTTCCAGAAACTGAGTTGCATTGACGAGATGCGCATATTATTTTATTATCATCCTACTAACGCAAAGTTTTCCATATGTTTCCCGTGGCACTACAGTTTAGCATTCGGCAGCAATCACTTGCAAGTTATCTTCGGGCGTCACAGGCGAGTCTGTTTTATAACAGCATTAGGTTGGAAAACACCTGCAGTCTTCCACAAGACCGTTTTATATTACAAAATAAGTAGAAATGGTACGTTTTTAACGCAGTGTATATTATGAAGTTCGAGGTCATTCAAGGTTATCAAGTTCCATGCCGACTCTTCCCCTTTGCTTCACTTCTTTCGGTTTACCACCTTATTTTCGTCGGTGCCAATTACCCCAACTTTATATGCTTATTGTTTCAAGGAAGTTTAGGATAGCACAATAGCATTGCATAAATTGTATTTTGGTACCAAATCTCACCAAAACACTAACTTCAAAAGTGGACAAAGCAAGCAGTCAAGTACTCCATAAAAATTTTAATAACATTCCATGGTATAAAGTTGCCTAGTGCGTTTTCCTCCAGTAATTGACTAAAAATTCACTATAACCTTCTTTGGAAAGTGATCAACCTTGTCCTTCTACAATCTAACACTATTGTTAGTCCTAAATTTTGATGCAATTTTATTATTAAAGATGGAGAGATTGGAAGTAACGACAATAGTAGGCCTCCACCACTTTGAATGTGAATTGTATTTCCTTGAAAGAGAAGGCTGCATAGAATCATAACTCGTTAGTGGTTCTTCTTAGATAAACACGCATCATAAAGTCCATTTGTTATAATATTTACAAATCTTCCGTTGGATAGCTCACTATAATACGGTAGAACCGAAGGAATAGGTATCACTTAGAAAGACTAAAGCCAAATTTGCTTAAAATGTTGTCCCACTGACTATTCACCTTTGCTAGGACTTCTACAAACACAGTAAACGTTTTCACTTTCAAAGTGATCCGCTTCACGCAATGTAGCATTGGTAGTACTTAATGGGAAGCAAATTAGACTAATTGAATCATGGAATAAATGTTCTCCATGCCAAGAAATAAGAAGTCCATTCTCATTGTTATGGCAGGATGATCTTCCTTATTGTATTCTTAAAATGCATTATGCCTCGGAAGCTTCTAGTCAACGCAGCAACAAGCAACGCGTAACCATAGCTTTACATATGAAAAGAGTAGGTAGAATTTGGCACTCCTGTGATGAAAAACTCTTGCAGTTAAATAGTTTATACGATCACCGCTCTTATCAAGGGTTACATTTCCAAGTCCTGCATGCAACTAAATATTCACTTTCAGAAGTTAGGTCCCGCATCGGAGTAATTAACCCACCCCATACGCACTTCCCTATAGATGTTCATAATAAGAATTGGGAATCCTCTAGGCCAGTTTCAAATGTGCCAGAGGCCGTTCTGTGGCAATCCGACACGGTGGCTACCTTCCTTGCACTTTTACGCCAAGCTTCCAATCCCGTCTGTATTGAAGCCGTTGCTGGTGCCATCCAGAATCTCACCTCTTCGACTAAATGGCAACCAGCAGGGATCGTTCGTTCGGAGGTGAGTTGACGCACTTCCTCTAATTATGACTGTTTTCTTTGCCGTTACATTGTTTTTATAATATCAGCATTCAGAAACAAAAAGTCATTGATTCGTCTTATTTCCTTAGTTTTATGCAAGATTGAGGGATTTGTTTTACCTATCAGTTCCTTGAATGACATCTTGCAGTGTTTTGTGAAAAATAGAAGATTTTTCTTAACTTACTGTTCATGCTGACGCAACACCGTGTAAACTACTTCAATGATGCACATAATTTTGGCTGCGATGGTCCTTCTGATAATGCTAGTTTTATTTGCAGTAATATCTGTAATTAGACAATGATCATTTAGCGAATAAAATTCCTTATGCCAACCTAATCATTTGAAAAAAAAAACTGAGAAGCCATTAAATTAGTAATTCAAATAAGCAAATAAAATAAAATGAAATCGTTAACGTCACCGAATTTGTAAGAGAAATATTTGTATTTTCACTTACTACTCTTATGGAAACTATATTGAGAGACTGTTAGAGGCAGCAAGGTGAAACGTAAATCCAAAAATCATTAATGATGAAATAAATTCAGGTTTAAATAGCCTCTTTGATACCCTTGCTTTAAAATTAAGGACTAACAGCATCATTTAGAAACTGATCGGACATGAAAGTAGCACATCTTTTCTGCAAGTTTTGATTCTTTAAGTAAACAAAATGGAAACTTCTATTCAAATAATTGGAAAACAAATGTCAGTCAATGTACTTTTAAACGTAAGACGGCGTTTTATATGTGAGTCTTACTGATTTTTTGTCAGTAAAAACCGAAAACGATAAAATACAATGATTATTTACAATGCCAAGCTCACTCAGTCTTTAAAAGGCAAGCACTAAGCCTCTTCATTTCAAGGTTCGTCTGCAAAAAGGGCTGTCTGTTCTCGTCGATCTTCTCCATTTCTCTGATAATACTGTTGTCGCAACTGTGGCATTGACTTTGCGAAATCTGATTTTGGAGAAGGAGGCACTCAAGCACCTAGGGAAACGCTCGCTACCCACGCTTGTGGCCTGCCTCACTCCTCACCCGAACGCGTCACGAAGTCGGTCACTCTCCAGTCTCGCGTCATTCACAGTGTCGAATGCTCATCTCCAAACTCATCTGAATTGCCAAGTTCTACTGCCCATTCTTAATTTGTGTTCCGAAGTCGTCTTAAGTCAAGACAACTTTACCAGGTGTGCCAGAGCGCTTCTTTAAAACTGCCTTAAATATTTAAGTGTTCCCTACCATAGTTATCAGTGTTTATTTTGCAATTTGACATTTTCTGTAGCAAAACTCGAGAAACTGAGAGCATGGTTTCAACGTGGCCGCAATGTGACTGCGGCCAGGGTTTTTTTAGGAATGTATTGAGATATGTGTAAATAGGCTCTTTATGGCCAACAAGTTGGTTCAAAACTTGCTTGCTGGCACTGCTTACTTTGTTTTAATAGTTTAGCCTATGCCTCCACAAAAGTATCAAAATTTGCGAGAGAGAAGTTGCGAAAAAAGTCATTTCCTTTGTACATAATCATTCATTAAGGGTATTAAAGCGTTTATTTATGCACAGACATTTATTTCCTATTCTTATTAAAAATTTCACCACTTCTATCTCTAGCAGCGATGTAGCAAATTAGAAAATGAAATATGATATTCCAGTTCAAAGTTCTCCCATGAAATCACCTATTTTTCACGTTCTAAAATTCAACTGTAAAGCCCAATTAATTTGATAGTGAACATAAAGAAAACGACCGAGTAAATAGGTTTAGAAGCATATTGCATAAAATGAAACACTAGAGCAAGGTAAAACTTTAATCCTACCTCAAAGAA